AAAAAAAAAAAAAAAAAAAAGAAAAAAGAAAATAAAAAAACCTACGAGAATAGAATAAGCCAGCTTTTAGGGCACAGAGGAGCTTTAATGTCTTTCGGGCCGGGAGTCAGGCAAGGATAATGTTGCGCAGACAACATTGACAGATAGACCTGCCTAGACAGGTACAGGCACTGTAGATATTACTAATAGCTACATCGAGATGCAAGTTCTACATAGTCACAAAATTATACTATGGACCAGTAAGGCTGAATAAGCAGCTTGATCAGCCGCAGCTAACATCCCTAGAACCCTAGACTGAATCTTGTATATAAAATATATAACAGCGGAGCGCGAAGCGCGAAGCTATCAATATAGGATATTCTTTGTAGCAATTCCTTTATTTGGCCATGATTATAAGGTTGTTCCTCCAGGCCTTTGGATATATATATTTGATAAGTAAGCAATGAGACTGTATTTAGAACTTCAAACAACGCTACAAGCTATTGTCTTGATCTTTAACACCATATAATAACCATATAATAACCATTCACAAATAATATACAATGTCTATTTAAGTCTATACAAGTCTATTCAACAAAATGCAAAAGCAAAAAAGAAAAAAGAAAGATACCCAACAAGCCAACAACATAAAGTCAAAAACCAACACTAGAAGCAGAATATCTGATCCGTCATCTTCCCTACCGCACCTGGCGCCTGGAATCCAGCAGCAGTGAGCGCCTTCTTCGAAGCATTCACCATACCAGGCGGACCACAAAGCATAATCTTTGTATCAGACGCCGGTCCCGGCAACTTCGCAGCCATAACCTGCGGCGTAACATAGCCTTTACCATAAGCCCAGTTCTTCGGAGGATGATCAAGCATATACCAGAGCTTGAAGTTCTTTGGATATTTCCGCGCGAACGCTTCCAGCTCAGCCCGCAACAGGATATCTTCCTCGGATCGATTGGCATAGATCAGACTCACTTCCGTAGTATCGGTGTCATCTTCACAGATCGCCCGGATGAGTTGATACATGGGCGTAATCCCGGTTCCACCGGCAATCATCCCGATCTTTTTACATAAACCGCTGTGGTACTTCATTGCGCCCTTCGGACCGCGGAATTGCACCTTGTCACCGACTTTCAGATTCGCAAGGTACTGGCCCGTGAGGAGACCGTCGGGGTAGCATTTGATGACGAGTTCCAGACGACCCAGATCCAGGTTGTTCGATGTTGGTGTGTAAGATCTCGAAACTACTGCGCCGTTAACGTTGGCTTTGATAGCGACATGCTGCCCGATAGGTAGACCAATGACGTCCCGTGGGCCGGGGAGTTCGAAGACGAAACGATACACATTCGGCGCTAGCAGGTCTTTCTGGATGAGAGGGAGGTTCTTGTAATCCTTTGGCTCGAGGAAGCCCTTGGCAAGGTGTGGGTTCTGTTTCTTCACACCGCGGGATTTTATGCGCGATGGATACCGCGTAAAGCCGGATTCAATCCGTGTGAACTTGGTGAGCTTCGACCCGACTATGCCGCCGATTGCCGCGCAAAGGATGCTGGCGGCGACAAAGCCACTCGAGAATCCTCCGCGTAAGACACCGCCGGACGACACATGGATCTCGGGTAATTTGTCAAACAGCGTTGGGAGTTTCGACAGCACTTCACGAAGAGCTGCATTGCTGCGTGAGGATATGTAGAGCAAGAGCGCGCTGCCCAGAGACCCTGTGGTAAGAGCAAGAGGTTTGATGACGGATGAGGACTTGTTGGTGCTCTTGGTCTCGGGCTTCGAAGGTGTTTGCTGAACCAGACGAACCGCCTTGGGTCTCTTGAACTCTTGGGCGTCTTTCAGGGTGCCGACCAGGTATGTCCCCAATATCTCATCGGCGTCTTCCGAGTGTCCGACATCTTCGTATGCAGCTGTCGCATCGGTCCCGGCGACATCAATGAGGACGTCCGCTCCTCCGGGGTGGTCGCGTACATATTTCGTTATGTCGTAGACTGTGTGCGTGTTAGACGTATGCTGTCTGTATAGTGTGCTTTCACCGACTTATTGCTCACCTTTCCCATGAATGGCCACCCACAGGTCATCCTTGCTTTTGTGGGCTGCCACATCTTGCAGACTGAATTCTTGCATATTCGCTATCGGCACAATGCCAGCTTAATGGTAAATGAGAATAAAGACCAAGGTGAAGAATATATGATAGAGACGATTTCAGATGTAGTCTTGCCCTGGGCGCATGCGATGTAGATAGTTTAGCTTTTGAGTGACCTTAGCGAATCTGGAACATGAACAAAGACCTTTATACTAAGTCTCGACTTAAACAAAATAACAATTCCATTTCAAGGCCTATCTACCGCGTCACTATGATTGGAAGGGATACGTACACTCAGTGAAGCCATACTGCCTCATTCCGAAGCAAGCCCTAAGTGGGTCTCTCCGAGGTAACGCAACCTCGGCAGCCCGACTCCACTCGGCATACAGCAAGAGTCGGCATTCCGAGTCAATGCCGAAACAAAGCCCTTGCTTAGTGGCACTTGTCTAGACCGCTAAAACGATCTGCCCTGCATTAGTAGCGTGACTCTATCCCGCGGCTCTGAGGGTATAGACAGCTGACTTGGCCATGATAGCAGCTCATTATCCGTGGCCCGAAGACGGAACTTTACGGGAAGGGACAGGGAAATGCAGTATCACTTGCTGGTTATCTCTCGGGCCGGACCTGCGTCACTATGTGGCTTTTCTTGTACCATAGAGGTGATTCCTTGATTATGATAAGCTTAGGATCGGTCCCGGGATGCCGAATCTTGTACAAATACAAGGATGTTCGCCTGCTTTGGTTGTGGCTCGTTCATCTGAATATCTCATCTATCTCGAACTAGATTAGTTACTTTTTTTTTCTACAGCAGACTCACGTATACTTCCTATATCATACATAACAATGCAGTTAACGTGGCAACAACCCCAGAATTACCGCAACCGTCCGGTTGTCATTCTCGGTGCAGGCGTCCTTGGGCGTCGGATAGGTATACAACTCAACCAGCCTGCTACCCCATCCAAGCTCTAACATTATATCCCCCCGAATAGGTTGTATCTGGGCCTCAGCCGGCTACGAAGTCCGCATCCGCGACCCAAGCGAACAACAACGCGCCGACGGCCTAGCCTACATCCAAGAGAACGTCGATGAATACGCACAGAAAACAGGCCAAAAGCCCGGCAAATACTCCACACACCAAGACATGAAAGAAGCCGTCGCCAACGCCTGGCTCGTCATCGAAGCTGTCCCCGAGAAGCTCGATCTGAAGATCGCCACATTCGCCGAGCTGGAAGCCCTCGCGCCAGAAGATTGTATTCTCGCGTCCAATTCGTCCTCGTACAAGTCGTCTGAGATGATCGAGAAAGTCTCCGACGCGACCAAGGCCCGGATCCTCAATATGCATTATTATATGCCCCCCGGCTGCATGATTGTCGAGCTTATGACAAATGGATTCACAGATGAGGGTGTTTTCCCGTTTATGGTTGAGAGGTCGAAGGAGGCTGCGACGCTGCCTTATGTTGCCAGGAAACAGTCGACTGGGTTTATCTTCAATAGGCTGTGGGCTGCTGTTAAGCGGGAGGTTCTGACCATCTTGGCAGAGGGCGTTTCCGTCCCTGAGGAGATTGACTCCATGTGGACGGAGATGTTTATTAAGCCACGGAGTATGCCGTGCAAGACTATGGACCGTGAGTTACTTCTGGGCTGCTGGGTTGGGAGTATTGCTGACGTATGTTTTTATAGAGGTTGGATTGGATACTGTTGCCTTTATCGAAGGTCATTATATTGAGGAGCGCGGACTCTCGCCAGAGAAGACCGTTGACTTCCTGAAACGGAACTATCTCGACGACGGTAGACTGGGTAATAAGTCTGCCAAGGGTGGTCTCTACCCTCCCGTGAAAGAAGAGAAAGCTACCGTCAACAACGAGTCGACACTGCCCGAATTATTGGTGTTGGACATCGGACTCTCCGCCGCCAACCCTACCACCACATCGGGCGAGATACTGAAACTGTCATCAGATGGAAAGATCCAAAAGGTTCTTGCGCCAAACCAGTCCCTGCCAGATGGTATTGTCGTGGACACCACCATTGGTCGGATGTTCTGGACTTGCATGGGGGTGCCCGGAAAGGACGATGGCGCAGTATATTCGGCCAACCTTGACGGCAGTGGTATCCAGACTGTAGTCCCTCGAGGCAGAGTCAACACACCAAAACAATTGACGATCGATGCCGAGGCGCAGAAGGTCTACTTCTGTGACCGTGAGGGATGCCGTGTCTGGCGCTGTGGGTATGATGGCTCCGATCTCGAGGCTGTGATCGACAGAAGCACCTCCAAAGATGCGTACGACAGTGCAATTTCCCACTGGTGCGTTGGTATCACTGTAGCCCCCAGCTTGGGCAAGTTCTACTGGACGCAGAAAGGCCCTTCGAAGGGCGGCAAGGGTCGCATCTTCTGTGCCAACATCACCACCCCGGAGGGACAAACGGGAGCCTCCAGGGACGATATTCAGCTGGTGCTCGGTGACCTTCCGGAGCCGATTGACCTTGAGCTGGACGAGCAGTCTCAAACGCTCTACTGGACGGACCGCGGTGAGGTCCCGCTTGGTAACGCGCTGTTCAGGGCACAGCTGGATGGGTCTGGTCTCCCGGTATCGATCAAACCGGGTCAGAAGTACGAGGTGTTGACAAAGCATTTGAAGGAAGCGATTGGCCTGAAGCTGGACCTCAGTAACGGTCACATCTACCTTACCGACCTCGGAGGCAACATTTACCGCTGTGACTTGGATGGAAGTCATAAGGAGAAGATCTATTCCGACGACTATCGGGCGTTTACTGGAATTGCCCTTCTGTAATTATATAGAATTTGCCCTTGTCTGTACATAGAGATTATAGATTTGTCTTGTTATTAGATTTGCATTTATATAATTAGAATCATCATTATAAAGTACACTATGGACGCCGACCTTTCCGTACAACTTTGTTCGAGCTACATCCAATTAAACGTCTCCCAGAAATTATAGACAGACGCTTCGTTCATAAGAGCGCCTATGACGTCGTCGCTGATCACCATGGACTCGGCTGGGTCATCTAGAGGGCCATCCTGCGGGACAGGATACGCTGTCTCTGGCTTGGACGGCTGGGCCATATAGTCAGGGAAGACCTGGCGTATGGCACCGAGAAAGATGCCTCGAAAGATGGATGCAGATGGATAAGTATGCTGCATCTGCTCTAGAATCATCATACACAGTTCCAGCTTGTTGAGGCCTAGCCGCCGAATAATACCATCGGACGATTTGCAGTTAAGGAGATGTACTTGCATAGCGGGTACGAGCAATGGAGGTCTACATGAAAATCAGTGGCGAGGTTTATCACCAGGAAAGAGAGGCAAGGGACGTACGTCATTGGACCCCCGAAGTCTAGCAGCTGTTCACGAGCCAGGTTATCAACAATGGAATTTGTTTGTAGGGCAGCGGCGTCCATTTTGTTTCGTATTTGGCTTTGCCACGCCTGTTGCTGAGCCGCCGGTAGGCCTTCTGGCGCCTTGGTGATAAACGGGCGGTAAAATGTAATGAGTAAAGCTCTGTCATGGTTAGAATTTTATTCGAGAATGCAGATCAGAACAATACGAACTGGTAGTGTAACTGCAGATGATACATATAAAAGGCTGCTAGACGACTTCGGTCAGTGCCAGGGCTGTCTGGGAATTGAACTAGTAGGATTTCTGCCTCGGTTGCTTCTACCTGCTGAAGCGATGGGTAAGACCCAAAAGGCCGGTAGCTTAGGCTGAGGACGTCACCGAGGAGTTTACTCAAATGAATCATCGTCACCCAGCAGTCTGCCAAATGCGGCAAATCGGTTGGGATGTAAGCACTGGCCATTGCTTCAGGTAGCCCGGTCACGTCGCTCAGCATATCGACAGAAGATGGCAACACTGTGTCGCAGTCACGGATGTCGATTCTGAGGGGTCTCCCCATTGTAAGACTCAGCCAACGATCCCGAAAGAAGCAGCTCCACCAAAGACGACGCCACAGACACTGCTGTCTTTCAGGTATTGAGGAATTCAACCAAGCCGAAGACGGGCAGCGATGCAAACCCATGATCTGGCAGAGACTAATTGCTGTGCCAGTCCAATACCACGGTTTCATATGCAAATCTACTTCCGAGTGGTAGAACCCCAAGAGAAGAGCCGATTGCAATAGAACAGTATTGTCAGTTTCACCACTGTTATGATGCATACACTGGAGGTCAACCAGCCAGTTAGAAAACTCGATAAATCCGATGGACTCAACTGAGGTACAACCCGCTGAATACGTACCTTGGCACGAGAGTACATATCATGTTTCATTGCCTTTCTCGAGGAGTAGCCCTCCTGTTTCCACGTCTCGGTGGAAATATACTATAATCAATGTTAGCAGATGAGGGTATTGAGCAAGGGAAGCTTGGCATACATTTGCTGCAACAAAGAACATGCTCCACAGCAGCAGGAGGTTACATTGATTGCTTTCGCCACTCGGATAAGAGCTGAGTACTGCGGTCACGTCGACGACCGGTAGGATAGGATGCACATGGTGGAAATAGGCGCGGAGAAGCTCGTCACATGTATCACTCCGAGGCAGGTTAAAAACGCCTTTATACTGAAGGTATTCGCGGTCCTCAGCAGATAGGGGAATCGATCTCTTGGGCTGAAGCAAAATATGCCGCTGGACAGGTTGCTGTGGTGGCGAGCATAAGTCCAATACACTCCCGAAGCCCGGAGACTCGCCTAGCCAAGAGTCAGTTATATTAACATTTGGGGTATCCTCGGACCTTGGAGAACAAACCAGTATAAAATGGCGCCTGGCCCGCCCTCCTATTTCTCCCTAGGGCCGCAGTTGCAATCTCTGCCCCAGTGCGTTCCTCATCAAGGCTTCTGTTGTCTTCTGGCGAAGTATTGATATCAGTAGCACCTCCCACTGATCTGGGACGTTCTACTCGAGGGGTAATCGGTGCAATGAACGCATCTGCTGGAGCGGAGGGCCGGGGCGGCAGCGACCTGCGAGACTCCTCTACAATCCGAGTGCTGTTCTCCGGACCATTTTGCCGTATAGGAGGTACAAATTGGCGGATCCGAGGTCTGTTCACGCTCAGCTCATTGTACTTACGTACAGAGTTGTGGCTTTTTTGGGCTTACGTTGTTTGCGTCTTCCCTTGTGGGATAATACACTCAGTGCCGTCTTGCGTACAACCAATACATGGTACGCCGGTAACTGTATAGCTGCAGCGGACTTTACGCTGGCGGCAATGCTGGCATGCGACTGCTGATCGATGGCGACGTGCCGACATGACGGATCGGTTATCTTTTGCGATAAAGTAGTATGAACGGTTGCCGAGAGTCTGGGGAAGAGCTTCTATTTCGAGCGGAGTACCTCGGAATCCTTCGCATGGAACATTCCGGGCGGCATTTGCCCCCTTGCCGATTGGTGGCGGTGAGGTTCTGCCCCACATCTCATTCAACTACTACTACCAAGCCCTAAGTTTGTATACACATCGCAATGCTTTGGAGTGCTATATTTATCAATTCACCAAAATGACACTTATTCACATTACAGAAACCATCGCAGACATATAGCCCTTCATTTTATCACGAAAGGGGCAATCTATGGGAGTTTTCGCTGCCTCATCAAACTACCTCTCTTCATGAACACCAGAAACACAACACAAGAGACAAGGAACAAAACGTATCCAAACCCAAGTCAATCTCTAATCGGATGCACCGTCTTCAAATGGCTCTGCAGATTATCGTTCCGGTTGAAAGCCCTCCGACAGTTCGCCACAGGGCATTCGTACGAGCGCGGTGAAACATGAATTTTGAATATATGGCGCTTCAAATCTTCCTTGCGTCCGAAGACACCAGTATATCTGCACCCAGCCCATTCGCAGCGATATTTGCTAGAATGCTCGCGTTCAGTGCTAGAGCATATAATGTTAGATGAGAGGTCGAACTAATAGAAGCTGACAATCACTTACTTGCGTTCAATCATTTTATGTCCCCTACGGAGATTTCTATTACGGGCAGACGTGCCATCGCCATTTATCGTTGGAGATTTTTGAATTCGTTTTTGTAGATCTAGAACATCTGTCCTACAGCTGGTATGGACCCGCGGGTTGGAAATTGCCTGTGTGTCATTGCGCCCCGGAACGTTGGTAGGGTGACGCGATGTGGTCAACAGGGTTGGGTTGACATTGGTTATTGCAAGCTCCGGGCTAGGTCGACTGCATGATGCTTTGTCGGGGTTGGGGAAGCGATTGTATGCGATAAGATCTGCTGGTCTCGGGCTTTGTTCTGGATTCTCGTATCCGACTGACACAAGGGGTATAGTAACCTGCTGATATTCCAGGTCCTGGTTGATAAAATCACCTTCTGGATGAAAGAGACTACAATCACTTAAGCTATGCTTCTCAGAGGACCACATCATCAGGATACCTGAGAAGGCACTTCAACGATACTAGAAGGGCACATGCAGGGACCAAAGTATAGAAGACCTCGGGAGCGAACGAACACTTCCATCTGGAAGGTTAATCAGGCCATATTTATAGGGTTATTGCCATTCAATCCCTTAGCCTTGAGCCTCAAACAAACACAAGCCACATTTGATGATCCCTCGTCTCGTGCAGATAAAGCACGAGGCTAGAATTTTCGAAGCGCTTCGAGGCCAGCTTTTGGAGAGGCTAATGCAGCCCATTCAGGGCAGCCAATGATAGTGACAGGCTAAAGGCCTTGTAGTCTAGTGCCTGACACTGAGTGACCTCATCACTCAATATCCTGCATGAAGGCAAGATTGAGATATATCATCACACCATCTCGCAGTCAATCACAGTGATAATGTCCATGTTGATATAGATAGTTGCACGAGCTTTGGATCTCAGGATCGTCCTTATTCTACCGCAGCTAGTTTGCTCTGAGTATCTCCTATCTATGGGCTCATGGCTCGATGATCGACTCTTTCACTTCGCGCGATACATACAACATGAGTGGAATTCTAATCTATGACCCTGCATTTGAGGTCTCAATCATCTCCATGACCCGCATAGTAAATGCAAAACCTGCTACAGCCCACGTAGTAAAGATACCTTGGCCCATAGGCACCATAGAAGCCACATCTGAGGACGAGAAATTGCTCTCAAGCCTACGATAGCCTGAATCAATGTCAGCCTCGCTGATCACTACGGATCACACATAACTACTATGCAAGTGATATCACGTATTGGAGAGGGAAACCTACACAAAGCACAGTCGTCTACTCCCAGAAAGAGGTTCGACTAGCTTATCTGGGCAGAGTCAGTGTAACCCAAATGCTTTCCGTCTCAGACATTTGACTCATCACTATATGATTTATTAGAATATTATATTCTTTCTTCAGCCCTGCAGCCTTTCTGACCCCAAGATGCCACATATTTCCACCCATGTACATTTATGTTTGCTAGTAGGCAATCCTTCTCGCCTCGCCCTCTCCAACTTTCTTCTTTCTAACAAACATGTGAAGGCCGTTGCCTTTCATGCTTGCATGATCTCATATTGCGAACCCATCCGAGAGGCTTGTTTGATTTCAGTTGGAATGGAAACAGGTTTAATATAATCCATAACCAATATTCCAGTTAAAGTCAATCTCAATTATGATCCGGCATACCATGTACTCCACAGCCCCAGAACATGCTTATAATGAACCAAGTCATATATCAAATGCTGCAGCTGAAGACAATTGAGTAATTTAGATATTCCTCCAAAGACAGGGCGGCTTTCACTTAACACGCGGGACAAATTACGAAAGAAAGTGCACAGATGCAGGGACATTTGAGGGCAGCTCCCGGAATCGAGGACTGTGATACACAGACGTGGACGAGTAGGAAAGGAAGCCGGCCATCTTGTGGCACTTCCTTGTGGCACTTCCAGGTCCTTGGATGTATAACAGCAATGGCCTAAGCTTATTACGAGCCTGGTGTCACAATCACTCACTCCAGAAATATTGCAATGACTTGGTTCCACGGCCGGGCAACAGCCTTGTCCAGCCTTAGGGATTTACTTACAGCAGTTCTGGTTTGTCTCTCGACTTTAGGGAATACAGTGAGACATGCTGCGACAAAGAGTAGTGCCAAGTGCGCAGTGCTTTGCCATCTCGAGCGCCAGTTGATATCCAGCATCCCATAGCATGCACTACCAAGGCTACAGGGCAAGGGGGGAGGGGTACGGCACAGTGAAAAGCACATACTTTCTTTCGTAGGTTCTTAAAGCACTATTTCATGTTGTATGCAGGCTGTAAGTGTCAACTCGGTGGTTACTTCTTTGAGTGAGGTTTTCGTTGTTGTAGAAGGGACATGGCATCGACGTTCCACAAGGCAAGACGGATACCACTCTGTTCGTTCATCTCGCATTCTCTCTAACTAGCCAAGGTAATGTATATCGATCCAAATCATATGTACTGTCACATACGAATTATTATACCATTGGTAACCTAAATTCGCATGATCGAAATAGTCAGCTGTTTACAGAAACCGGATGCATGATGTGTGTAAGCCCTATTTACATCAGATACAGATGTTATGTTTACGCTGTTGATGACTATATCAGTTGAAATCCATTTTCTACCGATCTATTTCGCTCATTCTTAAACACCATGGAATCCCTTTGAATGCCTTGCACACCAGATCCACTCTATATACATGATCATTCGATATGATATATTCATCTTCTATACACAGTAAACTCAAGGATCAAGAAAGCCACATACATCACCAGAAATAGAGCACCTATGGCACGATTTGCGCTGACAAAGACCGCCAGAAAGAGCATCACGGATGATACCCAGGTAGAAAAGACTTCGAAGAGCAGGACGCGGTCACTGTTGTCCGTTGGGAGTTCTGCAAGACCAATAACACCGGCGCACAGAGTCAGAAGGAAAATATTGCTTCCTGCAGTGCTGGCTACCACAATGCCACTGTGTCCACGAGAGCCGCTGATAATGGCAATCATCTTTTCCGGTAACGTCGTAGCGAATGACACCACTGTGAGACCAACAAGGGTCCCCGAGAGGTGGAAACAGTCTGCAATTGCCGACGCACTGCGTGACAACAGATAGCCAGAGATGGTGAGCGCTAACAGGCCTATCACGAGTTGGGAGATATGATAGAAAAGTGAACGTGGAGCGCGCTTCCTGGAGGTAGGGGCCTCTTCATTTGTGAGAAGAGGGGATGTTTCCGACTCATCCTGCACTATGTTGTCTTGCGGCCTGGGTGAGAGATAAGGATGCTCATCGTCGCTGGTATCATTGTCGCTGTCGCTGTCGCTGTCAGAAGCTTCTGGTGGTTCCATCACTCCTTTATGAATTGCATAGCAAGTACATATCATATATACGAGAAAGGTCGCCACTAGCACACCACCGGTGACTTTGTTCAACAGGTTGAAGTAAACGAGGATGGAGAAAGCGGTTGTGATTGAGAAAAGTAACGCTGTATATACCTTGGCACTGGGATCAAAAACGATCGGCCCAGGATGGAGTAAAAGGCCCAGGGAAAAGGCGCCCAGGACATTCGAAATGGTGGAGCCCATCACGTTTCCGAGTGCGAGCGGCGACTGCTTTTGCAGGACAGCCGCAATGACTACGGCAAGCTGTGGTCCATCCAGTGTTAGGGCACTAAGAATAGAAGCATATCACACCGTATGCATATATGCACATACCTCCTCATATTCAGCACCCGCAGTCAGTACAGCAATAAGGGTCTGGGAAACTCCCAGACGCTGGCCAACAATAACGGTGTGGTCAATGAATGTATCAGCACCGTAGTCTAACATGAATACACCGGCAGCAAACACCGCGGTATTGAAGAGTAGTTTATCCCAGTCCATGGCGCGTGTAGGCTAGTCCCGTCGTCTCTTGTCGCTGTTGAGGGACTACGCGTTGGTTTCGAGATTTGCCTGGTTGGATTCCGTAGAAGGAAAGGATCTGATGTACGGTGTACCTTAAACTTGTAACTAGTGAAGGAAAAAGCTTCTGAGTCAGCATCGCGAGTTGTGGTAGTGAGCTGGTGATCCAAGGCACTGAGGAAAGCTGCACATGCTTTTATTCATTCCTCCACAAATTGCATTTAATAGCTTCGCGGATTCCGGTACTGACACCTCATTTTCCTTCATTTCGCGAGGATCTCTCACATTAAGATGGGTTCGGTATGCCGACCCGTGCCAAACTTGGTCTACGCCGACTTCCCAAGAAAGCAACATTTAGAAGCATAGAGACCAGGTCTTATACTTCGTCAGATCGGTTCTCATTGAAATAAACCACATTTTTGACCTAACCTCTACATCTAAAGACTCTAACAAAGTCAATGTAAAATCCGGGAGGGTAACAGGACCTAGGTATTTCGGGCTCGGATATCAGATTCTGGTGACCCCGAATAAGTAGCGCTGGTCATGTTCCTCGATGGGCTTCTGCAATAGCATTGTATTCGTATTTTAGCCTTCATATATTCTCATAACACTTGGAACAATCACACGCAGATTAGATCCATTGTGAAGGCTGTTTGTGGTCGATACTGGTGAAGACTTGGTCTACCGAACAAACGATATACTAGGACAATTTCTGAAGTTTCTCTCTCAATAGCTTCCCCAGCATCGCACAGTCCTCTTCACCCAGATCGGCTAGTTTGATGGCCTTCTCTGCCCACCGCTGGCATTCGCCACTTTCAGAAAGTAAATAGAGATCCACCGCTCGATTAAATGCCACCGTCGCCATCCACTGAATCTCATCGCTTGGATAGCGCAAGGTTGTGCCGCAAAGGTCACAAGCTGAAGCTAAAGCTAGATCAAGGGCCGACTCAGCGAGACAGTATTCTGACGCGTCCAAGGACAGTTGAAAGAAGGTATGGATGTAGCGGGGAAGAAAGGCCCGGGCTGTTGCAGCCTCTAGGTACGGGGACGTGGTGGTGCGGAGGACAAGTACTATTTTCTTAAGAGGTTATATTCCGTTAGCTCATGTATCATAGCTGATAGAGTTTCCAGTGCTGCCTGATGAATAAATACCTCAACAACCTTGACGATATATGTTACCGAAGCTCCGCAACGGAGGACATAATCAAGAAATATCGAACCGAGTTCACCGTCGATTATGCTCTTCGACTCCTCAATAATGGAAGACACATAGTCCCATTGGTTAAAGAATAAAGCGCATTCTAGGTCAATTGACAAGATCCTTCGATATTTTTGGAGCCATTCATTGTTTTGGTCGGTCGTATTCTCGGGTTGTGGTCGGTTTTGAATATAAGTTCGGCAGTGCTGGGCAAATTTGTGGGCATCTTCATAGCGTTGTTGCTACTTTCTATTAGTCTTTAAAGGACAATTAATTGGTAAATCGGAAATAGGGCCAAACAAGCCTTCAAACTGGGCTCCGTCTCCTTGCGAGCCTCTGCGATGGCTCTAAAAGCCTTGATGATATCGCAGTGCAGATAGTGTTGCCAAAGACTGGACTGCTTCTCGCAGGTTGTGATCTTCCTCTGCAAGTCTGTGAACTGGGAACCCAACGTCAGTATTTCACAAAGAGCATAACTGAAGAGCAGTAACAAACCTGTATCGAGAGGTCCAGTAGTTGTACCACTAGCCTGGAATCGCACAAGCGTGCCTGAACAGCGATGTTGTAGCTCCTTTGCGAAAGCCACTCCAGTTCAATGGCCGAAAACACGGTATTTTGTCCACTTTTGTGTGCTATTTACCGTGTTTGAATACTTAGCATTAAGTACTGTGGCTCTATAGTTCATGACGTACCTGCTTCGAGCACACGTATGACCTGAGCGAGAAGCTCATCATTCTCTTTCACCTTTCCCATTTTCCCTAATTGTGCTGAGACCAGACAGCCTGCAGCTGTGAAAAGGCTTGCAATATACTTTCCTTCTAGGAAGCTGTCATCTAAATTATCTATTACATACTGGAGACATTCAGCTGCCAACAGTGTTTGCCCAGATCGGAGGGCTTCTGCTGCACATGGCAAGAGGTATGTTCTACCAGTTGCGCCCAGCTGACAGAGCGAATCGAGATAAGAGTGCCCTTGGCATAGTTAGACACGGTATGTACGGAGAATATCCGCTTCCTACCCTGGCTGAAGTCTCTGTCACTTAACGCCGCTTTGTATATCAAGTATAGCGCTGAAGGACATTTCCTATACTCATTTGGCATATTACCAAACAGCTTGTACGCCGCGCGCACATTTGAATTGTCCGATGCAAAAGCTATGTATCTTCTACTTCCTGTTAGACTGCCATGAGTCACATTAATCATATCTTACCTAAGAAACATCTCTCTATTTTTCGATGAAATTTGAAACATCGTTTCTTCTAGTACGAAGGAGCACCAGTGTTCTGCAATGCGAGGATTGCCTTCAGATGATACAACATCGACATATTTCCATATGAGCTATAACTCGTGTCAGTCACTTGGACTCCATAGCACATAGGGTCGTTACAATCAGACAAGCATTTGTTGCGTCCTCGCTCAAGAGACCTCGACCACACTTGGTCATCCTTTTCATCGTATCACACAGAACACTGCTATTGTTCTGCGTATGGAGACGACTATTTGTCAGCGTCCAGACCAAGAGAATGAAGATCCGCTCAGTCCACTCTTGCTGATCGGAATTAGCAAGCTTTGCGACCAAAATCTGCTGCAATCCTTGCACATAGAAACTGGTCCTGCTCTCTATCAGCTTATAAAGTCATAGGTTAGCGTTTACTCACTGGTGGTCTCGAGCTTTCTGGAGAAAGAACAATGCTCTGTGTGTTTGTTAGATGATTTCATGCCATAAGCCACGGGGTGTCACATACGTGTTCAACTCTGCCTTGTTGGGATTCAGTATATCAAGCATATCTCGTAGTACTTGAGGCTTGTCATAAACATTGAAACATATATTTATATTCTGTGCTCACTTACTTTGAAGATACTCATTGCCATTCGAGTGCCCCTCCCTGCTTAGAATTTCAAGCTGAAGCGCCTTGACGGCAAACGCGTGGTGATATCTCTATAAGCACGGTCAGAACCCAAGATCAGATAACTGTCAATCCCTTACCTTTTCAACGAGGTTGAGGGCTTTCGCGAGACGCTCCTTAGCGAGTGAACTCTCGAGGTGAAGGTTTGCTCGAACTACACTATGTTAACTCTTACATGGGGTATCAATCTAGCTGGGCCTTACTAGATGCGTGTAAAATGGGCAGTGCGTCATTCCCAACATCCTGCGCCATATTACTGTTGTAAAGTTCCCAAGCTGATAAGGCCCTTTCTAACCATTTCGCTGCATTATCATTGTGGCTCTCAACGAGAGCAAAATTTCCTATCTTGTAACATAACTCAAGAACGCGTCTCTGGTCATATGAAGTAGCTACTGCCGGTATCTTCGAAAATAAATGGTCTGCTATATCAGGCCTCCCTTGTAGCCAAGCCTTATCTCAGCAGGTCAGCGCTGAATATAGTCGCCCAAGGCTTGCATACTTACCAAATGGACTCGAACTATATAATACCCCGCCGTAGCTGATACTAGTTGTACCTTATCCGAGCTATCTGTCGATCTCTCGAGTCTATCCAAGCGTACAGCTACTATCTCGATGATCTTTTGGCTTAGTTCGATGATCCCATGTTCTGGCCCCATTGATCAACATGTTGCTGAAAGACAGAAATACAACAGGGGAGTACCTGTGCAACTTTGGACAGTTTTTAATGCTGCTTCCAACACTCTCTGGCTTCCTACACCCTTTCATAAGAATGTACCCTCCAGAAATAGCAACACTTCATGTATCAATTTACCTGAGCCGTGACTTGGCGCAGCACAATCAAGCATGAATAACGCAAAGGCGCTCACTATAACGAGTCAGATGATGTCGCTAAATGTAGATAAATCTCTCATGCCTTTACAATGGGTAATGCTTCCAATAATAGATATCATCTGGGCAGATATATTCCACAACCTTGCTCCAATGGCGGCGAGTTGGCGACGGATAGCAATCGGGGGAGACGTGAGTAGAGGGAGGCGGCCAAGATGTTCATCGAGTGAGTAGAATACATCGCTCATTGAGATCGCACCCTCATTAGGATTGTTCTGTATGTGTTGGAGTATTGTCTCGGCAAACTCTTTGCAATCGGTCAGAAGGAGCAATCAATGAAAGAAGCGCTCCCAAGGCCGCTCACCTAATATCGTTTCGGCTTTGGCTTCGGAACTGCTTGACGTTGTTGCCATGTCCTCGATTTTGGCTGTCTAGTTTTTGTAGTAGATGATCTTGCGCATCTAGATGTCGACTAAGATAGTTTATAGAACGAAGAATGGTTATTTCCGCCCGGAAGCTAGTACTAAAAAGTGTTCTATAACTCTAACGTATCGGCTTATATTACACCCTACAATTTCAGAAGATCTTCCTTCCCGGAAGGCCAGCCACATGATGAGACCAATTCATATTCCATCCCGATTATTCAGGTATCAAATTCAGGCAAACCCCAACCCATTGTTGCTCCCGTTATGAGTGTTCAACTAGGGAGAAAGAGTGAAGTATGGTACAATTTTAACGAAATGTACGAGATCAGTATAACATTTCACGTTCAGGTGGACGTATGTGCCGAGGATGTCCATTCCCAATCAATAAAAAGCCCAAACAGCCGGACGCCGATAGCAAACTGAGACAAGGAAACGAAGCATGTATTCATTTACTCTTTCGTTGAGATGGGAGGAAATTCCCAACAATGAGAGATGGACTAAGTTGCAAGTCAGATAGGGAAACTATAGCGGCATAAGATGCACTTACATATTGTGCGGGTCTCTCCGTATTGTGAATGAAAAGCAGCAGGGAATCCCATCGCCGGGAGCGTTAGGGTCGGGACTTTTCAATGTGCAGCTTGTGAGCATTGCCTTTTGTGTATTATCAAAAGCAATTGCTCCAAATTTCTCCCAGTAGCTCACAAGCTGATCTTCCACGATAATTTCATGAATGGCTAGCTTGCCCTAGAGCACGAGGACCTGTCAGCTTATTCCTTCAAGAAGACCAATACCACCATCACTGCACTTACGTCTCTTAGACTTTCGATTGGAACTCCGATCAATTCTGCCATCTCCTTGTTGCCTCGAAAGATCTCTCCCGTACGTCTCCAGCAGCAAGCGGGAATCGCCATACTAGCGAAAACACGATCGTATTCCATCAAGCTCCGTTCAAACCACATCTCCACAAGGATGAGTTCGATATCCGTCAGACTCTGCATTCTCTCCCGGAACTTGGGCCTGAATTTATCGAGTTGTCGGAGAATCTTCTGGCGTGAGGCTTGCTGTAGATTCTTTTCCATATATTGGTTTAACCTGGCGTAGCCCTTTACATAGTTAAATGGCCTGAGAAGGCCAGCGTCGTATTTAGCCTTGAGAAGTTTGTTCATTCGCTCTTCCGGTGGGTCAGACCCGGAGGGATCTGCTGCCGTCATGTAATACGTTTCGCGCGCTTTATCGTTTACCGCTCCACTGGTCGGACCTTGGATTGAATCGCCCTGGGATGGTTGGTTCTGAGTCAAAGGCGGCGGTTGTGATTGCTGGAGTAACGCCGCGTTAGGTCCCCCACCGAGTGTTGCCATCGAACTGATCAACGTCGGGTCAGAATAAATCCCTTGCAGATCATCATTCTGGAACATAGATCCGTCATCCAAGAGACTGTTACTCAGGAAGTCACCAAGAAGGTTATACTCGTTTGTGACCTCCGGGGCATTGAACATGTACGAAGGATGAAAAGTATGCATATCCTGAAATTGGCTTTGGCCACCAAGCCAGTCATTGTAACCGAGAACTTGATGAGGTGGAAGTCAGCAGCAACCTTGAGGAAAACATTTACGTACTGGAAGACTCACGTGGCTGGGAAGTTGCGCCGGGGCCTTGGCCTGAAGAAGAGGAGAGGCTGCCGTGCTGCACAGACGACGATGGAAGCCCATTGGGGAGGATTTGCTGACCGGCAGCATCCGGGACGTCGACATTGCTAGTCATACCTTGAAGGACGTTGGAAAAGTCATTGTTCTGCACACTTTCGTCATCCGCTGCAGAATGTTCGTGTTCACTCCGAGCTCGCTTTGAAGGCTCTCTAGGTTCGTCATGGCACAGATGGCCAATATTGCGCTTTATGCATCGTGTACACGGCCGCTCCTTTATTTTCCAAAGGGAAAGAAAAGAAAACAAGTGTCAGCAGTTACTCTCGTGGAAGGCAACCGTAATGGGTTTCACAAGGGTGAGCTGTGATGGTAAAGTTCAGGAAAAGTCGTACCGAATCGCAAGTCATATGCTGTACCACGTGAAGAATTGCCCTTTCGTCAGCAGATGAATTTCGAGGGGTTTTTGTTTTCGTTTTTTTTTACTCCTTGCTCTGATTTTGCAATGGGGGAAGCAGATGGGACGTCCGGACAGACGACGAGTATTGCTGAAAGGGGCGTCAAGAGAAAAGGCTTACCGATCGCCGACAGTAGACGCATGCTAAAAGAGTGGCAACAGGATTAGCGTCGTGGACTTCATGCCCGCGGGAACGGCAAGGGCAGTGTGAGAGGATCCGCTGCTATTATCCTTGTACAAATGCATGGCGAGGTTGTTTGCTTACCATGATTAACCTTGCGACGCTTCTTGGGGCTGGCGTGAGTCCCCGCAGCAGCGTTTTCACCTTTGGACGCTGGAGAATTTCGCGAGTTGTCTTTGGCGCTCAAGTCCTTTTTGGCTGCGTCTCCCTCGGCCATATTGTTCTTGAGATTTCCTAAGGTACCATTGCCGGGTTGTTCGGGTCTCGTGCCCGTTTGCGCAGCGTTTTTCTCGGTCATTGATCACTGGGCGCAAAAGCGGTTGCGCAGAGTCACGGTTGTTTCGTTGTCGCTATCGGCTGGGGGACACAGATAAGAGTCCGGTGGGAACTTGCAGGCCTCAACTAACGCTCATAAACAGAGAAGGCTCAAATGCATTGTAGAAAAGTAATCCTTGAGTGTCTGTCGCGGCGCCAAAGTATGTATGTATGGTATGATGATACGAACGACGGATTGCGATCGACTCACAAGGTTTCCCCGCTGGTGTGCGGGACTTCCAACCGGGCTGTATCTTTTCCCGAGCTCCTCCGCATTTCAGGTGCGGGAATCACCCCAAGATGTCCCGACGCATTCTCTTGACGCCAATAAATCTCCTCAACCTCCCCAACTCGCCCTCGGAACCCCAAAACTTGATATCTGACCAACCCAGCAGCTCTGCATGACCATATGCAACACATTTGTACCTCGGCTAGAATATTTTATATCCTTGGATCCTAGGTTGAATGGAATTACATGCCAATTGTGCTCTTACTATTCCAGAATCGGAGCGTCCTCCTATACTCCAAGATTTATCATTCTACCGTCACCGGAAACGAACATAGAAGATCTAATATAAACATATGCTCAGGCCCTCCACATCGGGAGTTACTCCAGACTAATAGTACGAGTCTATCCTTCGGCGCACGGCCACTTCGTCATAGTACGCCAAATTGACTCCAATGATCTAGACGAGACCCAGTTCCTGGGCTAATCTCCGTATAAGATTAAGGGGCTTTCCAACCTTCATCGAATCATGCATTCGGCGTGAATATGAGCCCGAGTCGTATGATGGCTGGTTCTTAAGCGCACTGTTGGTGGCGTTCTTATAGCATGCTCGCATAGCAAGGCCGAAGAGAAAATACACCCATCACATGCGTAGTACTGAAATGATTCTTCAGGAATCAGCCAATTATTCAAGGGTCTATCCCCTGAGTCAAGCCGTCGCAGTCATGCATCTGCAATACGGACAAGAAGGTTCGGCTGAATGCTTGGCTAGCTTGCCTCGGCCTCAGCTGTAGCTGAGGTAATACGACATCAAGTTTGATGAAATCCCAATGCAGGCGAAGGTTGAAATGGTTCAATCTTCAGGTCGGCAAGTCAGGCTCAAAGCTGTCTGAGACCGTGTAATCGCCTCACTTAAGCCTGTCAGAGGGGCTGTATTACCCTGCATGGATTTGAGATGCCCATTCAGCTGCTTTAACAAGCCCGCGACCTCAGGGTCGGTTTCGAGCTGAAGAAAGCACGTTAGTGGTAGCCCGGCAGTGAAAGGAGATCAGTTAATTACCTCATCAAACGTAGTTTGCAAATCACTTTCACTAGAGAGCACGAACTGAGTATCATCCTGACTCTGTTGGCCAGGAACGCTGAGCTGCCGAAGTACGGGATGTTCCTTTCAAAAGTCAGTAACGAGTTCTGCGGCTTCAGAGCAACACATCTTACATTTTTCAGTTGCCTCTTCCGTTCTGCTTCCGCCCGCTTAGCATTCTTCTCCATTTCCTGCAATTGTTTCGTTTCCTTCGCAAGTAATGCCTCTTCCTTTTCGATCTCGGCTTTCAAGAGATCAGTGCTGTCCATGACGGTAGCCAGGCTCGCCTCCAAGGAACACTGTCAATTATCAGTATTAGTTTGCGCAAGGAGTCGAGGACGCTTCGTACGTGTTCTTTAAGTGCAGCCTCGTATTCGAAAACCGAATCCTTCGTTACGGGTGGAAATGGTATTCTAGGTAGGCGCTTTCCGAGGCTTGAGAGTAAATTTTGCAAGTTAGATCATTTTTCCATCAGGAACAGAACGAATCACATTATGAAACAGAGGAAGATTCAAGATGCATACTTCTTCACTACGGCCTGAACAGCGGCTTGCGCTTCAATACGCTTGCGCTCATTCTGCTGACGCACTATGACTGGGCGCTCGAGGGCTCGAAACATATCGCGAATCTTGTCTTGCATTGGCTCTGGGAGCGTGGACCATTTAGATTTGATCGTTCGTTCAGAGACCCGACGAACTTGGGGCTTCAGATAAGCAAATCGCTTCCTGCGCGTGTTGTCTTGGTCATGCCCCTCGCCGGAGCTCTTTCGTTTCGGAGGCATTGCGACTTCGTTGATCAAGGAGCTGGAAACCCTTGAATGAGGCTCAAATTGAGTGATGGCAGGGAAAAGGTGCAAATGTATTGTGCGTAGTGATGTGGATCGATGTCAACATCAACGCGATTGTTGATCTTGTTGCAGCGTCACATGTCAGAGAAACAGAATGACGCTAAACTCGTTTAAGCGCGCCGTTGGCGCACTGCTCCCGCTGACGGCTGCAGGTATGTATGGAACTATCATGACGCATCCTCCGATATATAGTGCTCGGGCGATTTTCCCTTGTATCTTGTATTTCTCGTATGTTTCTTTTAATTGTCTTGCTTGGCATAAGGACTTAGAAAGCTTTCCCATTCATGAAAGCCGTTACATACAAATACATGTTTGGTACCCGTGCCCAAATGCAAGGGCATGCATTCTCTGTAGCTGAATATATATCAGCTTCCTATTATGCATACAAGACACAAAACATAAAGCTCGGCTCTCAGGCCTGAGCGATCAAGGGTATTATAAGGCATGGAGCACATCGTAGCAATAACAAGACAGGCTTTGAAAGAACAGAAGGGAAAGAGAACACAAAGATATCTGAGGGATAGATCATGATCGCCGAGAATAAACGCCCCGTGAATCAAACTTCCACAATGTACACCACCTAACTCGCTAATTGCTTCAGCTCAGAGAACTTGGTGAAACTGCCTGTGTCCAAAAAAGTGTTCAACAAGGTAGACAGAAAAAAAAGATATGCCATGGTTGCATAACCAGCATACGCGTTATCGAGGCATAACTAAGCCATTCATGGCTTTCATGTCGGCTAGCTGCGCCTTTAGAATCTCATTCCCACGTAGTATCTCCTCTAGCCAGTCTGCAGCTTGCGTGAGCATGGCACTTTTGCTGAAGCCTCCACCCTTCAGCCCAGGTACAAGCGTGCACAAGTCATCGAATCCCTGCCTGATCAAGTTTCTGCGCTTTTGCTCAGACAGAATGTGATTGCTCCGTTTTTGTTCCTCCGTGAGATTCTCTCTTGCGGGTTTGGTACCTTGTTGAACTTTAGATTTTCGAATGGTCTCAGTTGACATCCGCCGATTCTTGCCATAGCTCGTACTCTTGGATCTTCTTGACCTCGGTTTCGAGTCATCCTCGGAGTTCTCATCCTCTTCTTCCTTGATCACGGTCCTTTGCCGTTTCTTAGGCTGCGACAAATCTTCCATGCTATCCCTGTATTCCCTGCGTAAATCACCGAGTGGCCCGGTCGCATCCGGTCCCGTCCAATGAGCGCTGTGGTGGCCGGTGAGACGTTCCGGACTTGGTGCACGAGTATTGGCAGCACTGCTTTGAGGTTCGAGAGACTCAAGATGGCGAAGCAACTCATGCGTCTGTTCTTCGACGTTTGGTTGATCAGGCGGTGCCACATATCCTTGGTCCATAAAGCTGACATCAGACCCCCAATGAAGGGGCCGTACTTTGGCAGTGGCTTGTTGCTCTGGTGATATTGGATCTCGTACATCGAAGAGCATTTCCGACGTGTGATAGGCCATCGGTGCACGAGCACCAGTGAACGTATTCGATTGTTTGGATGACACTGGTTGGGGCTGTTGGGGTTTTACGCGGCCATTCATACGGGAATTGTTGTAGTCCATCTCCGAGAAAGAGGAGAATGGGTGATGTGCAAAAGGCGAGACGAGCCCAGTCCCATTCATGCCGTTTTGATAGAGCATGGAAGCAGCCGCAAAGATATCCGAACTCGAATGGTTAGGTAAAATGTCCATCCCGGATTTATCTAGGCCGCGGTGAGGAAGTGAGGGTTGTGAGAGAGAGGTTGTGGAGCCTTCAAATGTCGGAGGTAGTTCATCTGACCACTCAAAGTTGGTTGGCCCAAGTGACTTATTTTGCTGGCCCTGTAGCCAGAAGTCGTTCGTGAAATGATTGGAATTCATGGTCGTGAAAAAATTATCAAGCATATTAGACTCATTATCATCAAGAAGAGCTGGCCCGGGGGGAGGTGCAGGTGCCGGTTCGTAAGGAGTATCCATCGGCGATAGAAAGGAATCTGCACAATAAATAAGATTAGAGAGAGGCCTTTATGTGTCAAAATTCGGTTATACATACAGCCAAATGGCCCCGGTTGAGGGCTATCCCGTCCACTGCGAGCCTGGGGAGCGTTCATATTCATTTTTATGGGAAAGAGGGAGAAAGGGAAAAGAGCGACAGTGTGGGTTGTGGAGGGGTAGTGATTTTCGCTTGTGTCGCTACTCTATTATTGAGAGCGACGTCGAGAGAGCAAGGTGAGCATGCCTTGATCGGCCAATGGTCTGGACTCGTACCCTCAAAATCCGGGGTCATATAAGAGTATAGATAAGTGGAGTCCACGGGGTCCTTTTGTCCTTGACGTACGAGCAGGAGCCCTGGTTTTGGAAAAACCGAACCGCAGATATATATGAGTTGAGGGTGTAGATATTAATCGAACACAATACAAAGAAGCAGCATTAGACGACGACAAGGTTGGCCTAGTAGGAAAAAGGCCCCCGCATTGATATCATATGTGAAAGAGGGAGAAAAGAGTTCGTTAGTAGTCTGGGGATATGCGATGGTGGAGAGAGCAGTAGCATTGGAATGGAAACCGTCGGTCTTTTCGACTCGATCACATGCAAAAAATCTCGCGCTCCATCAGAAAGAAAAGGTCGCGTGACGTAAAAACCATACCAAAAATACCCCACTGTCGTCCGTCAGAGTGGTTAGACTTTCCGTAATACCGGGGTATTGTGACGCTCGGTCCTATTTCCCAATCCCGCTAGAAGAGGGTCTCAAATCCATGTCCTGCATGAATTGTCTGTTTGTCTGCTACTCTGTCGTCTCTCTTTCCCTCTTCTACCCTTCCTCCTGGTCCATAACGCAGGTCAGTATAACACCTTGCAGGCCCCTCCCCCTCAGTTCCCCTTTATCTTCGCATTCTTCATCGGAAGAAACCTTGCATATACTAATTCTTATTCTTTTGGGGGGAGGAGTTGTATTGTTAATCCGTTCGAACTCCTCTTTTCCTCGTTCCGGTTTTTTCAGCCCACCAAGTGTACTCCGTACGGCCCGGAGGCCCACGGGGTTTATCCCGCGGAACGACTCACGTACCACTCAATTTTGCGGCTGACAGATGGAGGATCGGCCACCAAGGGCTTAGTCTTACCCCTGAACCAGCCTTAACAAGTCGTGCTTTGGAGGTCACTCAAGGACCGAGGTTCAAGATTACGTTGCATGGCTCCACGCTAGGTCACACCAACGCTGCCAATAGACCGGTATCAGGTAGGAATTATTCGAACTGCTGCCACAGCAGGTGTTTGTGCTAGTTTTCCCACTTTGTATTTCCGTAATCTCGTCCAATTTACATGATCTCCGTCGATTATTGTTGCCTCAAAGAGATTTGGATCGACCCAATCTCCGTAAGGAGGAGGTACACCTCGTTGGAAAGGTGTGTCTCGCTGTCTATGTTTTACGTACAAACATCAGCTATACATAACTAGGAGAAATCCCTGACGCCTCCAGATAGCTTAGGGTTATATTGACCGGTGTGATAACCATCTTCTACCGAGAAGTGACCATGGAAATTTGCCATTGAATGGAGCTCTGAAGACCATGGATTCTATAGGCTCCACAGGCAGAGGCCGAAATAAAATTCAACTGCTAAAACCGTAAGTCTTACCTTAACTGTGATGCAGTTTAGGAGTCGCATGCGATCTAGAACGCTGGTCCACGTTACATTTTCTGGGGTGCTGCTGAGATTGCTGACTGGACTGCTGCTTGTGTATCGTCACAGCATTCTGCGTGCATATGTCATTGGTTATTTGTCGTCCACCACTCCGAGGGTGATAGCATCTTTACGGCAAATTTGGAGGAATGACTTGGACTATCAACAGAAGCGCAGGGTGGTAGGTTGTTCCATTGGTAGATGCTTACATTCTTTGAAGTGTTCCTTGATCATTCCACATTTTGTCCTTCCTTGCTTGACCCATCTGTGACTTTTGCGCCTTGTGATCTACTTGCCAACTACACGATCCGATAGAAGCTCTAGACTAATACTTGGATAACAGCTAGTTCGTGCACTGACGAGTGCGATACGATTGGATAGCTTCCCCACATTCTGTGCTTCCCTCGTTGGGGGCTCAACGGTGTTTCCCCTAGTGATTTTCCGGCTGGCTGAGCTCTTAAGCCAAAAGGTTGACTTCAAGTGTAGTCGATTAGAATCTGCTAGGTTTCTGCGTTTAGCCCGACTTATCTGCACTTTTGTCTCCGCTTGGCTGAGCTTTGAACTGCTGAATCGAAAACCCATTAGGCTGCAAGGAATTGAAGGAACGCTTGCTGACAATGGAAGCGACGAAGCTGCCGGGAAGCAGCAAGGGTGCCAGAACACAATACACAATAGACCTCAGTTTGCGGGCAGGACGATGGATCTGACGCTTTTTAGCTTCACCAGAGCAGTGGATCTAGTAGCCTGCATCATATGGGCCCGATGGCGACGGTGGCGGAGCGCTCGGGGTCGCTGGAGTCGGGCAGAATCCCTGGCGCCAAAGCTTACGGATTCGGGCGTGTTTGCCGCTAGTGCAGCAATCGTGATGTGGGCATGGTTTTACCTACCGGAAAGGTTGCCAAAGTCTTACGGAAAGTGGATTGGAGAGGTAGCCAAGGTGGATTCCCGGCTGATTGAAGCACTTCGCCGAGTCAGGAGAGGGGTCTTCGTGTATGGGAAAGACACGGGGCAAGCACCTCTACTCCAGTCGATGTGCAAGGACTACGGCTGGCCTATCGAATGGGGAGATCCCGCCAAAACAATTCCTATTCCCTGCGAAATGGTACACATGAGCTGTGGCCCTAACTGTGAGAAACATGCCGTATCTCGATTCGTGCGAACGTTTGGGTTTGCCTGTGCAACTTATATACCTTTACAAATTCTCTTCCGGCTCAAGAGATTGAAGTCGGTATTGTCACTCCGCCGGGCTGTATCAGACGCCTTGCGCTCATCTGTATTCCTTGCTTCGTTCGTGAGTATCTTTTACTATTCCGTTTGCCTTGCAAGAACCAGAATCGGGCCCAAGGTATTCCCACGAGATGTAGTAACCCCCATGATGTGGGATTCCGGGCTTTGCGTTGGAGCTGGATGTTTGATGTGCGGCTGGAGTATACTTGTAGAAAGCCCATCGAAACGGCAGGAGTTAGCATTGTTTGTGGCACCTAGAGCTGCTGCGACCGTGCTCCCAAGATTCTACGACAAGCAGGTATGGTTCACGCACTCCTTTTTCTTGCTTGTCTACACATTCCCCAATTCCCGTGTGACACCTCGTCTTGTGTTGCAATGCTATAATTGCGATCTTATTCCCCGTCGTACCTTGTGTAATCCCAGAACTTTATGAATGCTAATCGGTCTTTAGTACCAATATCGAGAGCGCATTACCTTCGCTGTTAGCGCTGCCCTTCTTCTTACTTGTCTTCAAGAGCGACCTGGCTTGGTAAGAGGCGTTTTTGGGAGGATTGCAACGAGCGTCCTGAAATAATGAATGATAGAGTCTACCACGACAATCCGTCATGCCAAGGATCTTCTTCGACGCCTAGGACGGCATTGGAGGGGCTTTTGTTTTTTTTCCTCCTGTTGTATTATTAGAAGAATATAGAGCTTTCTTGTACCCCCTGAATTAATTTTGTGGTACTGTACTTCGTACTATAGTATTGAAACTTTATATCATAGTCGATGCGGTATGTCATGATAAGCTTGAAGAGATGTCTAGACCGTTGTGATTCCGTCTTTCTAGACTAGGCAGTACATTGAGTGTCGGAATGCCTCCCGAGGTGCCTGGTTCCTAGGTCCGGTACTAGGTCCTAGGTACCTAACTAGTACAATGGTCCCTGACCGAGGGTTCAATAACTGAATTTGTGCTAATTGGTTGGTGATATGCATCAAGGTTCGGTCTTATCGATAAGAACGTCTGATCGCCAAGGCTAAATCACGTGCAAAAGCCGGCCTTCGATATTGCATGGTGAGTTCTCCGCATATCTCCGACTACGCATCAATTCTATCGTCATGTATGGTCGCATAATCTCTCCATGGGCCCGGTTTACGCTACCGGGAACCGGTATTCGGCTGCCGGCGTCTACAAATGCGAGATGTTTCGAGCCAGGGAAGAGATACTTCTCTCGCAATTCGTTTTTAGGACAAAATGCCTCCGCACCGTTTAATACGCCTCAAGCCCAGAAGCGGAATGCGTCCACACTGTATAATTATCGCACTGTCCTTCTGGCGACTCATTTCTGATGGTGTCTAGGTACTATACTGCGAGTCTTATTCTCGGAACGGTTGCACTCGCATACGGCTCCGTCCCTCTATATAAAATGGTGCGTATAAATCACCTAGCGTCCGCTTATGCGCAGCAGGAGCTGAAGTCTACGGTTATGTAGATTTGCCAACAGACTGGCTGGGGTGGCCAGCCCATCCTCACTCATCGCGGAGGAGACGCCGATACTGCATCTCGTGTGACGCCAGTAACAGACGCTCGTCGACTCCGGATTACGTTCAATGGCTCAGTCTCCGATGTCTTGCCGTGGAAGTTCACGCCTCAACAGCGCGAGGTCCGGGTGCTACCTGGTGAAACGGCGCTTGCCTTCTATACCGCGACGAACAAAGGTCCTTCGGATATCATTGGTGTTGCCACATACAGCGTCACGCCGGGCCAGGTTGCCCCGTACTTCAGTAAGATCCAATGTTTCTGCTTTGAAGAGCAGAAATTGAATGCTGGCGAATCTGTCGACATGCCTGTTTTCTTCTACATTGATCCGGACTTCACGAAAGATCCACAAATGAAGGGCATTGACACCATCACACTCTCATACACCTTCTTCAGTAAGGAAGCGGCTGGCCTACAGTATCAACGTGTAAAGGATTGCTGACACAAAACAGAAGCGCGATATGATGACAACGGAGTTCTCAAGCCGGTACCCACGAACTGATTACATAGACTGTTTACTGTTTCCTATCCATCGAAACAGTGGCGCTTGGATTGGCCACATCCTAGCTTTATAGACAAAACCACGTCGAAAGCCTGGTACTCTGAAATGGTGTCGACGATTTGAGGTTTCCTAAGCAGCACAACAATCGTGAAGCGCCAGGTGAAGCTCTGGCGAAATCCCTTGTAACCTTTCTCCATATCGGGAGACTTCTGATCTCACGGGGAAGTTATATCTCCTCTCCAAAAAGAATACCCATATATGTATCATAGCAATGGATATCTGTACATTACATTTTGCTGCGTGGTGGCACCAATTGTAGGCCCTTGCAGTTTTAAAGGATGAAAACTGCCCGGAATGACGATTCAGAGACTCTCTTTTAGTGGCAGCGCTTAAATGGGCGAAGTTTCGTAGCACTATCTATACATTGAGAGCTACTATCTATGGATGTACTCCGTAATATGGTCAGCACCCGTGCACGGACCACCAATTAAGCTCGCGTGTCACGACCCTCCCGACGCGTCTTGCTTACGATCAAACTAAGCTATCTCTACATTTGTGAGAAGCACTCCATAGCCTCACGCCGCCACAGCACATACTAGACCACTAAAGATGGCTTTGCTAGTAGACAGGCTGCGACCACGCTCGCTCGACGCCCTGTCATACCACCATGAACTCTCCGCGCGGTTGAAGTCACTGGTAATACAACCTAGAGCCAAATTCTCGCTAAGAAAATCCCCAATTGACATTATTATTGTTCCAGGCACAAAGTGGAGATTTCCCCCATCTACTCATGTACGGACCATCGGGCGCAGGCAAAAAAACCCGGACAATTGCAACACTAAAAGAACTGTACGGTGCGGGTGTGGAGAAGATCAAAATCGATGCCCGAGTCTTCCAGACGACGAGTAACCGGAAGCTTGAATTTAACATTGTATCATCTGTATACCATCTGGAGATCACACCTTCAGATGTCGGAAACTACGATCGTGTCGTCGTACAGGAGCTGCTCAAAGAAATTGCGCAAACACAGCAGGTCGACCTCTCCGCAAAGCAAAGGTTCAAGGTTGTCGTTATCAATGAAGCAGACCATCTGAGCCGTGACGCCCAGGCAGCTCTGAGACGCACTATGGAGAAATACAGTCCCAACCTGAGACTCATTCTGTTGGCCAATAGCACTTCGAATATCATTGCTCCGATTCGTTCCAGAACCCTGCTGGTCAGGGTTGCGGCACCAACGGAAGACCAGATCTGCACTGTGCTCAGCGCTGCGGGCAAGAGGGAAGGCTGGCCGGAGGCGCCTGGACTCAATAAGAGGATAGCGAAGGAGAGTGGACGCAATCTCCGACGCGCGTTACTCATGTTCGAAGCTATCTATGCTCAAAGGTATGATTGTATTGTCTTTCACTCTTGGTTCTAGACTGACCCTATGCTGCCAACAGTGAGAAGGTGACGGAGAACACTCCGATCCCACCTCCGGACTGGGAGGTGCTCATTTCTATTACGGCTGATGAGATTCTGGCTGAGCGGTCGCCAGCTCGACTATTACAAGTCCGGGCGCGCTTGTACGATCTCTTGACTCACTGCATACCGCCGACTACTATCCTCAAGGTCTGACTATGAAGGGATAAAGAATGCTCTGGTTCACGCTGACTAGATTTTAGACCCTCACCTTCAAACTCATCGCCAAGGTAGACGATGCGCTGAAGCCCGAAGTGATTAAATGGTCCGCATTCTACGAGCACAGAGTCACACAAGGGAGCGTAAGAGTCCCAGACCGAACCAACTGCAACCACTCAAGGATACTGACCCGCCTTACAGAAAGTGATCTTCCACCTCGAGGCCTTCGTCGCCAAATTCATGCGCATCTATGAAAGGTTCGACTCCTTGACCACATCACAGCCAAGCATGCACACTAACAATCAACACAGTTACCTAATGGGCATGGACTTCTAAACCGTAGAAAAAGAAAAAGACAAATTAGTAATCCACGATTTACGATTGTTCTGTATAATAAGTGACAGCAGCCTTGATTAGAAGGTGCTCATTGCATCGACGGTTTCTGCGGCGGGATACAGATTCTGGTTTTTGATGCGCTCCACTGGCGTTTTTATAGGATATAACAAACTAAGTTGGCGATTTCAGCAAACGAGAACTTCTGTGCTCCGCTAGGAACCGCGTTCGGGCCTTACGTAGTCTAGAATGTTTGTCGTGAATCCAAGTTCTTCCCCGTGGGGAAGGGGCGAAGAACGGACATGGACTACGTCATACAATTTCTCTATAAATTGGATGGACCAGCCACGGCCGAATTACTTTGTTTTATAAAGTTTGGACCAGTTTTGAACGTACAACCTCGACCGAAATACATCGTGAAGCTCTTCTACTGCGTATTATATCGGGTTATGGAGACCATGTCGGATACTAGGCTGATGGATACTGAACCGGGTGGCGAGAGTACCCAGTGCGTTTTCTTTTCTCCCATTTAGGCGGTTTTTGTTTAACCTCTGATCAAGGTATGAATCTATTCGAGAATTTACGGTGACACCGGCGAAGCAAACTGGACAGCTAGGTGGTATGTTGGTTCTGCTTGGCGGGAACACCATGTCTCATTTGGAATGTATTGGAACTGACCAGTCTAAGGAAATGCACCGCATACGAGGAGTGAAATGATGCGTCTCTGGGATCCGGATACTACTTCCACCGCGGAAGATGAGGACGCCGAATGGGCAAGGAGGTTTTCTGGACAAAGTGGTGTCATGGGAGAAGTGGATAAAGGTACAGTTGATGTTTGCTTTCCTTCAATCTAACTCCGTGTATAAGACATCGACACATGTGGGAATAAAACATTCAAGAAAGAACCAAAAGCTGATGATAATATACACAAGACCTGAAGCCCGACACCCAAGATGGCGATGCACAGGCAGCGAGGTGTAGGAGACTGCAGGGATATGGACCTGGTTCCGGCGTCGGAGCTTAGAAATTGCTGCGCGCAGATAATGTAGTTGATATGATCAAATGGAATATAAGCGATTCATTTATTGAGAAGCAGAGGGGCTAGACGATGTCGAACTGGGCGGCGTAGACATGTTTGCCGTGCCCAGGGCTGGGCTCCGGCGGGGGCGCTTAAGGCTCTCCAGAGTCACGCCGTTGCCGAGCTTCGTCAAGCCGACAACAGGGGGATCGCCCTTCTTGCAGAACTCCCAGAGGCCTAGACCGGATTGTGTTGTTAGCATGGAACGGCTACCGGCCTATTTTTTGAGCGAGAGCTGTGCTTACCGGGCAACTTGTGGCCAGCCAATCTGAAAGCTTCCCTTGCGACCTTCTCGTGAATATCGCCCTTCAGTTCAAACACGATTCTGCTGACACCGACCTTGGCCGTCCAGTAGTCGAACTTTCCCTTACCCTTACCCATACGTTGCTCGTTACCCTTGGTGTACACACCAATGTTGGCGCTCACACGCTTGTAGAGCGTATAGTTCATTCCTCTTAACCGTCTTTTAATGGTTTCCTCTGCAATCTTGAGCGACGAAGCCGGCAGTCGGCGGTCGTGGTCCTTCATGCGCAAGCCGTAGTCGCCCCAGACGACCGTTGTACCACGCGAAGAACCGCCAGTCGCAACATGTGGGCGACCCTTGGGGGACTTGGACGTTTCCATGAACTTTGGAGTAAGCCAGTCAAGAGCCGGGGAGGTCGTAGAGAAGCATCGTGATAGCGGAGAGGCCGTAAAAGTTGTGGATAAACCTAATGTTGAGACGGTCAGCTTTCCGGCCCTGCAGAGAAAAATTCTTATGGAAAGAAATCCAACATACAGGTGGGCCGGAAAAGGGCCAATTGAGGCCCCGCGAACATCTTCATCGTGGAGGCCATGGTGAGATCTGATGCCAGGCCCTTTTCGTAGCGAATTAGCGATGTTGGATGAAGACTTCCAGACTATCGGCGTATCTGCAAGTCCGATTTTCCCCCAGTCCCAACCAGGTAAAACGAGTTGGCGCACGGACCACGCGCGTGTTCCTTATGTAAGCCTATTAAGTCACGTCGGCGACAAAGAGCTCAAGGCAGCGCGTCGTGTTTTCCGATCTAGTTGCCTATAATGGTCATATAATTTAAGAGCACCAGGTGCATTGTTTGTTGCTTCAGCTTCGTACTTATCATCGCCAATCCACCACTGATCTGTTCATGGCATGCTTTGAAACTTGTTAAATTCATCATGCCTGCTGATATCAGGAGCTTTTTTGGCGGCAAGCCGAGTAGCAGTCAGGGCTCGAGTGCCTCTCCTGTGAAGCCGCCCGCAAAGAAAGAGGTACACAAGGCTCTGCTGCCACATTCACCTTCCAGCTCCTGCCGTTTAAGCTGTAATCTTGTTGAACCGAACTAATGTGAAGCTTTATCTTAGGAACCTGCTGGCAGGAAAAGACGTAAGACCTTAAACCGTTCTACTTACTTGCGCCTTCATTAACCGGTCATGTAGGCGGGAGGAAAGTTGTGGATGATAGTGATGATGAGGACGATGTCAAAGCGACCAAGGCGCCAGCCCCCAAAGCTAAGGCGTCAACAAAGCCGTATGCATTGCACAACCACCTGCTCATAGGTACGCCTCACCTACTGACCATCTTTATGAAGGAAACCCGATGTACCGCAAGGGGAGGTAACGACCACATCGGACTACTTCGCCTCCAGCAAGAAGAGGGGAAGGCCGGCCAAAGCCAGTACTGCGACGCCCACTAAGGAAACCCAGCCTACCAATGACACCATCTCGGAAGAGGTCAAAGCCAGCAAATCGCCGCGAGCGAATAAACAGGCCGAGAAGAAGGAGACCCCCAAGCGACCAACGCGCGAATCAAAGAGAAAAGCTACGATTGCTCTAGACGATGAAGAACTCGGCGGTGATGACATATTTGCAACGGAGTTTGCAAGGCCAGGTAAAGGCGATGATGAATACGTTGAGGAGCACAGCGAAAAGGATAGCGATGTCGAGGAACTTGCAGTGAAACCGGCCACCGCAGCTTCGAGTAGACCTGGACGTAAGAAGCCAGCCTCGAAGTTAGAGTCGGATGATGATGATGACGACGATGTGGTTATGGAGGATGCCCCAAAACAGCCGAGGAGAGCAACGAAATCGGCAGCTTCACAACCTGGAAGGAAACGGAAATCAGAAGCCCTGGGTAAGGAGGAGGACGATGAACCCCAGGAAAGCCCTAAGAAGGGTAGCTCAAATTCCAAAACGTCGTCAGCAGCTCGTGCGCCCAAGAAACCAAAGGGGTCTCCTTCGAAGAAAGACCAGCCCGAAAGCAAGGAAATTCAGAACATCTTTGACAGTATTCCAACTGTCCGACCACCCTCACCCCCAGCCGAATCTGGCGACAAGAAAAAATTTAACCCTTTCGCTGCGCGAACGCGCTCTCCCGCAGCAGCTGGAACGGTTGAAATGCCGGTCGGGGCTGAAAACTGCCTTGCAGGGTTGTCTTTCGTTTTCACCGGTGTCCTTGACACTTTAGGTCGTGAAGAAGGACAAAACCTAGTGAAACAATATGGTGGCAAAGTTACTGGCGCTCCAAGTTCCAAGACAAGTTACGTTGTCCTCGGAGGTGATGCTGGCCCCAAAAAACTTAAGACGATCAGGGATCATAACCTGAAAACAATTAATGAGGAAGGTCTCTTCGAGCTCATCCGAAGACTGCCAGCCAACGGCGGTGACGGAAAAGCCGCTGAAAAGTATGAAGAAAAGAGGAAGGCTGAAGAAAAGAAAATTCGAGCCATGGCTGCTGAAATTGAGCAGGAAGAGAAGCGCAAAGCGAAGGCTGCTAGTACGACGGCAGCTAAGGCGTCTGTGGGATCCCAGACGCCATCGAACTCTCAAGGTCCCAGGCCAGAGGATGAGCTCTGGACTACAAAGTACGCACCAACGTCAATGAACATGATCTGTGGCAATAAAACTGCTGTTGAGAAACTTCAAAGTTGGCTTCGAGATTGGCACAAGAATGCTAAGGGGAACTTCTCGAAACCTGGGAAGGATGGCTCTGGAATCTACCGCGCAGTCATGATCCATGGCCCCCCAGGAATCGGTAAGACGACCGCAGCACATCTTGTGGCGAAACTCGAAGGCTACGATATTGTCGAAACTAATGCCAGTGATACGAGGAGCAAGAAACTCGTTGAAACCGGTCTTTTGGGTGTCTTGGATACAACGTCCCTGCAAGGTTATTTCGCTGCTGATGGTCAGAAGGTGCACAGAGAGAGGAAGAATATGGTATTGATCATGGATGAGGTAGATGGGATGTCGGCTGGAGACCGAGGTGGTGTTGGGGCGTTGGCTGCTATCGCAAAGAAAACTCACATCCCACTTATCCTCATATGTAACGAACGTAGGCTTCCGAAAATGAAGCCCTTCGATCACGTCACGTATGAGGTACCCTTTAGACGTCCGACTGCTGAGCAGATCAGAGCTAGACTTTCAACGATTTGTTTCCGAGAAGGCCTGAAGATCCCGCCCCATGTTCTCGACAGTCTCATCGAAGGGACGCATGCCGACATTCGTCAAGTTATTAACATGCTGTCGACTGTGAAGCTGGATCAACAAAATCTGAACTTTGAGAAGGGGCGGGAGATGTCCAAGGCTTGGGAAAAGCATGTGATCCTGAAGCCCTGGGATATTGTATCCAAAATTCTCAGCGCTCAGATGTTCTCTCCAAGTTCCAAATCGACGTTGAACGACAAGATCGAACTTTATTTCAATGATCACGAGTTCAGCTACTTGATGCTTCAAGAGAACTACTTGAGGACGAGGCCCGCCTTGTCTAGTAATTATCAAGGCAAAGAGCAAAAGTTGAAGTTGCTCGAGTTGGCAGATAACGCCGCGTCAAGCATTAGTGACGGCGACCTGGTCGACAAAATGATCCATGGAACACAGCAGCAATGGAGTCTGATGCCAACGCACGCTGTGTTCAGCTTTGTTCGACCCGCCAGTTTTGCTTACGGCAATATGACCGAGCGAGCAGGTTTCACTAGTTGGCTAGGTCAGAACAGTAAACAAGGTACATATCCTTCAACCACTTATATATCTATGTTGCTAACAGAATAACTACAGGAAAACTTTGGCGTAGCACCAAGGAAATCCAGGGCCACATGCGTCTTCGTGCCTCTGGGGACCGCGACGAAATCAGACAACAGTATCTACCCCTGATCTGGGACAAGCTTGTTCGCCGGTTGATGACCGATGGAAAAGAAGGTGTTGAGGACGTCATTGATTTCATGGACAGTTATTTCCTCACCCGAGACGACTGGGATGCCCTGGTCGAGCTTGGCCTTGGCCCTATGGATCAATCGATGGTGAAGCTAGATACACAGACGAAAGCGACATTCACACGACTCTATAACCAGCGCTCGCATCCACTTCCCTTCATGAAGGCTAGCAGCGTCGCTGCACCAAAGAAGATGCCAAAGGAGAAACCCGATATCGAAGATGCTATCGATGAGTCGGACGATGAAGTGCTCGAGGATGATACCAAAGATGACGATGAAAGTGAAGAACTGGACCTGAAGAAGGACAAATACGTCCGGGTACCAAAGAAATCCGCGGCGAAATCTGGGGCGAAATCTGGAGCGAAGGGCGGCTCAGGCAAAGGAAAGAAGGCTAAGAAGGCCGCCGACGATGATTTTATTGATGACGACGAGAAGCCGAAGAAAGGGAGAGGTCGAAAGGCTAAGACTTAGGACGTTTCACTCTCTCATTGTGGACGTCTGGGGAGATAAATCTCTCTTCTGAAAATCACAATGGGAGGATTGGGCGATATCTGTAGTGGTTATTAGTTAGGTACTTGTATTATACTGAACGACGACTATGTTGAACCAAAAACCACTATCATTCTGTGCCAGTAACTTAGCAATTGATCTAAATAATCCAAACAAATAATCTACGGAGGATCGGCGGCGCTTTATCTACATCCATGTTTCTTGGCTGATCTGCGGAGATTGTCTTGGGAGAACCCGCAATTTGCTGCTCTTCCTCCGCTACTCAGTACTAAACCTCCACCAACTCCCTCCACGACCTTACTCTCTCTTTCTTATTATAACTTCCCTTTACTCTACATCGGGCTGGTCCTGGTTGAGAACGAACCTTCATTGATCCCTTTGTTGCTGACCACGTTCAGCGCATCTATTCACTGTCAACGCAGTAGTTAGAATCATGCCCAGACGAGCACCACCAGCGACTTTACGGTGTCTGCCTTAAATCTTCAATATTCCTGATCGCTACCAGAGTTCGATATCTATAACCTCTCAACATTTACTCAAAACCGTGGGAAGATGTCTCTCCTTCACAATGAAGAGTACGTCGAGTGGTGTGCACCTCGCATCTGCTCCCGCCACTTTCCCCGCGATCGCCCTTCATACCAAGAATCCAGTACTAAAAGAATGGTAGTTTTACGATATGGCAACTGCGCACCTCTTATCTATCCACGATAAAAGACGGAATAGGCGACAGACTCATCAACGTGAACAACTCGGTGCTCAATACTCCTGGATTTCGCGCGGCGGGCTGGTCGTCAGCTTCCACAAACCCCAGCGCACAAAGCGTAGCGGCCCATATTCGTCGGACATATTCCCCTCCGATTCCCACCACCGCTGCAGTTACCTCGGAGTATTATCAACTGGGTGTCTCCCGGGATGCGACCGAAGCCCAGAGACTTGGTTTGGGGGAGGATGGCGAGGAAGATGAAGGGGGCATGGTGACGGGCAAAAGCTCTACGGAGGTGATAGGACGCCGGCCTCATGGACGCGCTGGGAAAAGAACCCATCGAAAGGAGCGGCAGCAAAACGATTCTTATAAACAAAGGGATGCGGAAGAGGATGACAGCAGTGATCTGAGTGATGAGAGCGACGATGATGTGGATAGTCAAAGGTTGGTCTAGTGATTTGAAGTCTTTCTATTCTCAGATTGCATTCCGGTACTAATACGTTGCAGAGCTTCCCAGCAGATCAAATTTCCTAAACTACCAATACGGACACGAGCGGGATCCTCTCCAATACGGTCAATAGATCGTCAAGAAGGTCCACAAGTTATGGTCACTTCTCCTTCTCACCCCACGATGGGCATGCATTACCGCACGGGATCGCTAGGAACCGCTGTCAGTGTGAATGAGCGGCCACGGCGAGATACAACTACTACCGCCAGCAGCGACATGTCGTCAGACAATGAAATGGGCTCTTTGGCCTCACGGAAGCAGATTCAGTTTTCTGGTCAGGATCAGGTTATAGAGTTGGCTAGTCACAGACGCAGGGGAGCTGGTAATAGAAATCTCGGAGGATTAGATGAGCATCCAGAGGATTCAGGAGCTGAGTCCGAGGACTCGGCACTTTCATCGGACTTCGATGCCACGGCTGGTTCTGCATCGCTCCTGGTAGGCGTCGGTATCACTGGCAGCTTGGATTCATCGTCACCTATGATGATGCACAAATTGCCGAATGGAACAGGACCTCAAACGGCATCTCCTAGGAAGACCAAAACACCGGCTCCCGAATTGCATGACTTACCTCCGCCGCGGCCTATTAGTACAGTACAACCTATTAGTCTGCTGTCCAAGGCACTCAACGCGCGCAAACGCGCCCCGACCAATCCAGTCGAGAAATTTGCGGTGCTCTCGGGCAAAGGCCTTAATGATGCATTGAATATTAAGTTGTACTTACCATTTTCTTCTGACCCGGAAGAGCCAATCGACCTGCCTATTGCACGGGAATCTAAACTCGCGGAGCAACCAGCTCCCGTCACTGTTGTTGAGGCGATCGGTTTAGCGCTCTGGCGATACTCGGAAGAAGGCCGCCAACCGGCCATTGAACGTAACAAGTTGACAGTTAACCGGTGGGCGCTTCGAATGGTGGAAGACGGTGAAGTGGAATACGACTTTCCCGCGTTAGGACGAGCGTCACAGATTACGGATTTTACGTCGAATAACAATCGAGCAGCTGGGGCACGCGGTCGAGGCCGAGGGAAGCAGTACGATGAATTTGCCCTGGTGGAGGCCTCCGATGGTGAATTTGAAGAAAATGAGCGCCAGTTCCCCACGGAGAGCCAAGCAGTTGCTCCTGAGGACACCAATGATGCAGCTTCCGCTCTCAATGTTCCCTCCCCCCAACCAGTTTCTCAAAACAAAGCGCCTCGACCCAATCCGATCTTAGGACAACCGTTTTCGTCGGCCCTGAATGACAATACGCTCACACCGGCCGATCGGCCGGCGGTGCCAACGTCGCATGCCACGCCGCGCCTGGGGGTCTCCAAGACCCTGAAGATCCGGTTCGTCAATATCGAGGGCTCTACGCAAGTCACTACTCTCAGCACGTCCACTGACAGCTACATCGCGGAGATCTTGGATTCGGTTTGCAAACGTTGGGGCTTGGATAAGGGGAATTACCTCCTGAAGGTCATGGGATCCAATACGATCGCGCCTTTGGACCGCACGGTCGAAGCCCTGGGGAACCTGACCGAGCTGGATCTCGTGCGCCGGCGCTTCGGGCCTCAGTCTTTGACTGGGTCTCCGGGCAGCTCATCCCCCAATGCACCGCTTCAAATTGACAGCGGCACCGTGCCGTCGAGCAAGAAAGGGAAGAAGGGTGGGCCGCGCATGTTACATCCGCTGGCGCAGCAGCAGGACCTCACGGGGGGCTACTACCGCCGGTACCACGTGTTCCGCAAGCAATCCATGTCTTTCACCGCCTCGAACCACAAGATCCTCACGTTTGACAATGACTACATGCACATCATGCCGGGGGATACTGCGAAGACGGGATCGAACACCAAGACCCGGTCGATTAGTTTCAACGACGTTGTTGGATGCAAGGTGAGCCGTCGCCATCCCAAGAACTTCCGGGTGGTTGTGCTTCGCGGCAATGATGCGAACGAGCAGAAGCGATATGACTTTGAGGCGCGGAACGCACTGGAGGCGGTGGAGATTGTGGATGAGATTAAGAAGAACATGGCGCATTATCGGATTTAGCCTTTCTCCCCATTCATTTGGGGGTCTCTGAGGACGATGTCGAGACGATTGATATTGCGAAACGATCTATCATTTGCTGCATAGGGACAGACAATACCCAAGACACGCAAGTTCTAGACATGCCGGCGTAACCTTTCGTAGCTCCTTCATCATGCATACCCCGCATGTTAAACGGCGACATTCCATATTAAGTATCTTGTGCATATCTGACTTATTTCATACGGAGTACTTAGTTTGACACTATTCCAGCTCCGATGAACCTTAGTACTGCTACATATTACTACTAGTAGGAGATACTAGGTCATTTTGAGGAAACGGCCGAGAAGGGAAATCTCCGAAGAGCGAGCGGGGCGTTCCGCCGATCCACTTGTCTTTGAATGATGAGGTCACGATGCAGGACTAGCCCCGTCTGGTTACTAGTGGTGAGCCCTTGCTGAACGGGTGCCCAATATATGTTTGTATCTTCTGTTCTATGTGTATATGGAGTAGGATATGGTCTGACCATCAGTGAATCAATGTATCACACAGGATGGGCCGTTCTCTACCATTCAATTCGTGGTTTGATACGACACTAGTCGACTTACGAGGAAACATACTAGTCCTCTGTCAAAGTGCCTCCGTCGGGTGTGAGAAAAGTGGTGATCTCATAGGGCCGGGGAGCGGAAAGCTTGAGGGTCTTCTCTTATCCACAGTGATCTTGATGATTCATGATCTCTGGTTATCGATGATTCTCCGTCGATTATTTTAACTTCCGCTCATGGGAATGGATATGAATGAATGCAGCGTTCATTGGATCTCTTCCCAGTGGTTATCCCCGGGTGTCGTGATTCTCGACGACTCATGCAACATAGTTTTTTTTGGGGGTTGTTGATGAAACATCCGCTTCGTGAGAGGGGTTTCTTTTCCTGTCCTTGCTTCTTATTTTAAACTCCTCTTTTCGATTTTGATTAAAAGCAAAAAAGCGGGGCTGATCTGAGATTTGCTTTACTCATAGTGAAGAGGTGATGGCGTGAGAAGAGTTTCAATGCAGAACTCATGTTGGTAACAAAAAGAAACGAGACGAAGAGAAAAAAAGCATTGATCACCAGCTGTATGTAAGAAGCTACGAATTAGGTATAGAGAGGCCAGCAAGAGACGTAGGGTGAGAGAGAGAGAGAGAGAGAGAGACCGATAGACAAGTTCCCTCCCGTTAAATTCAAATCGCCTTCTCCCCCCCCGCGCTTTGCTCTTCTGGGTCAAATTTCCTCTCCGCCCAAACCACCAAACTAAATTAACTGCATCTCGAATCATTACTCTTCCTCTTTTTCCCTACGGAACGTTGACGTTTCAATTTCCCCTCCCTCGATTTCTTGTGTCTTGGCTGAAAGTTTCACCGGGTTGGCACGATAAGAAGCAAAATCACTCAGCACAGAATAACGACGAAACGCAACCACTCGAGCTGTTTGACACCAGTTCATCTCGAAATCTGTTTGAATTTCCAATTGCAAGCTTGGGGGTTGACCGCTTCTCGGTAGCTACGGCCATTCCCTCCCCCGTGATATCCGCTGCTCGGAACCGTACAAAAAACAAGAGGCGTAACGTTTCGTTGCTGGCGGCCTTTCCCCTCCTCCGCAAGGACACCCAAAAACAAAAATTCAAAAAAAAAAAAGAAGGGAAGGTCGAAAGAGGGGTTGAGCTTGTCTTTTGAACCCTCTTTTTCTTTTTCCCCATTCCGCCTGAATCTCACCAAACACCCCATCTGAATTTTGGGGGTTTCATTTTGATTTTGTTTTTTTGCCTTGAACCCTTTTACCCCAATTTTTTTTTCTTCTTTATTTTATATTTTTCTTTTTCTTTTTCTTTTCTTTTTTAGTTCTCCATGCCGAGCTTAGGAGGCTTATTGAAGAAACGGCGGACCAAGGATTCGCAGACCCTCAGCAAAGAGCTTGAAGCCGGTTCGTCACCCACCGCGGCCCAGACGCAGACGTCACCAAACCAGCATCACCACAGCCACCAATCCCATCCTTCTACTACTGCCACTTCCCCCGACGCTGCTTATACCTCTGCGCAACCTCACCAATCGTCCCACGACCATCACAATCGCTCTTCAGGCACTAATCGAAGCCACCCCGAGGGTCAACCATCCTCCATGCAATCCGCCGTGACGCAATCGCCCTCGGCCCACCATCACCATGGCCACCACCACACCAACTCTCATAATGTCGCCAGTATACAGAACATAATTCATTCCTCCCACCAGAGCAGCCAGTCAGTCGGTGGCAGTTCGCAACAATCACAAAACCGAACCACCAAGGGCAAGTACTCTCTCGAAGATTTCAGCCTCCAGCGCACGTTGGGCACCGGGAGCTTTGGTCGAGTCCATCTCGTGCAGTCAAAGCACAACCACCGCTTCTATGCCATCAAAGTCTTGAAGAAGGCCCAGGTGGTTAAGATGAAGCAGATTGAGCATACTAATGACGAACGACGAATGCTCAATCGCGTCAGGCATCCGTTCTTGATCACCCTGTGGGGCACATGGCAGGATTCGCGAAATCTGTACATGGTCATGGATTTTGTGGAGGGAGGTGAACTCTTCAGTCTGCTTCGCAAGTCTCAGGTGGGTGATCCTCCCCGTCTTCGTTGCTCCAGCATGTACGCTGATCCGGGGGGTCCCCGTCTAGCGATTCCCTAACCCCGTGGCCAAGTTCTACGCCGCGGAAGTCACGCTGGCGCTGGAATATCTGCACACCCACCAGATCATCTATCGAGATCTGAAGCCGGAGAATTTACTCCTCGACCGGCATGGCCACCTGAAGATCACCGACTTTGGTTTTGCAAAGGAGGTGCCTGACATCACCTGGACCCTGTGTGGCACACCCGATTATTTGGCTCCCGAGGTTGTTTCATCCAAGGGTTACAACAAGTCGGTGGACTGGTAAGTCTTCCTGTCCGATCGTCTGGTGGGAGCCCGCCGATAAGGAACCCCGCTGACAGGGTAAAGGTGGTCCCTTGGAATCCTGATCTTCGAAATGCTGTGTGGCTTCACACCCTTCTGGGACAGCGGATCGCCGGTCAAGATCTATGAGAACATTCTCCGGGGTCGGGTAAAATACCCACCGTACCTACACCCAGATGCTGTGGATCTACTGTCCCAGCTGATCACAGCAGACCTAACCAAGCGGCTGGGTAACTTGCATGGTGGTCCGGAAGACGTCAAGAATCATCCGTGGTTCGCCGAGGTCACCTGGGACCGACTGGCCAGGAAAGACATCGATGCTCCCTATGTACCACCGATCCGGGGAGGACAAGGTGATGCAAGCCAGTATGACCGCTATCCAGAAGAACAGGAAGCCTACGGTCAAGGCGGTGAAGACCCGTATGTGCAACTTGCTCGGTGTATTCTTTCCGCATTACTGACGATCACAATTTAATCTAGTCACGGCCATTTGTTCCCCGACTTCTAACTTTTCTACGAGTCATGATGAAATGATCATTTCACCATAGCTGTCTAGAGTAAAGGCAATGGACTACCTCGATGTAAAGACGCGGGGGTGACGCCTTATCTTATAGCCCTATTGACTAGGCCACAGAAATAGCAGCCGTGAAAAAGACAACCATGCTATTACTTTTACACATTGTCTTCTCGATCGGTTCGATTGTCTGGATGATCGCTGGCCGACTTGGCCTTTGGATTTCTCTGTTTCATCGTTTTTTTGGAGCATCTACCTTTGTATATCGGGCGCGGGCTTCTCGCGCTGTCGCATTCCACGTACCTCGGCCTCCATTGATATGGATCGCTTTCACGAGCATCGAGGCAACTAAATCTCCAGTACTTGTGTTTGGTTTTGAACAAGGATCAGGTGCTTTCGGGGTTGGTTCTACTCCGGGGTCTTCCGCCGAGTCGATCGCGTGCATCGACTGGACTGTTTGGTTTCTCGCGTCATGGTTTGATAATAGTTGCAAGTATTGGGATGCTACTTGGTTGCTTCGTTCATTTCTTTTTTCGGAGACCTGTATAATGTACATATCTTTCAAATGCAATAAAAGTAGGCTATGGATCTCTGCATACCGCATCTACCAAAATGCTCCAGACAGGCTACCAGTGGACGCCTGTCTGCCACTATGGATCCGTTGCCGTTGCCTTCCAACCCGTCTGATAGGGGACCCCCAGTCCACCACAAAACGTGCGCCGTTATCGTACACCATTCCAACAATACACCCCCCAAATCATGAAAGGAGAGAAAAGGTGACAAGAGAATTTGCAGGACACCCAGGCTGACGTCCATAAAAAATTGGAGAAATCGATCGCGCTTCCGATTACCATCTATAGAATGCTTCCATTTTCCTATAAACCCCGACGCTAATTTACAGACTGGTCTCGGTAGGGGTGGCCATCATGGCGAGGTTCTCAGCACCGCCGAGACGCTTGCTTTCGCGGGAGACACGAGAGACGTAGGTACGGCTGGCGGTGTTCCAGAAGGAGATGTACTTCTCCATGCACTGAGAGAGACAGGTCTCTTCGTTGGGGGTGATGGAGGAGCCGGGGGTGGGAATGCAGGCGTCGAAGCAGTGCTCATTCACTTTCTATACTGTTGTCAGAAACTAGATGCTGGCCGCAAGGAGAATCTGGGCATACTCCGATCAGATTGCGAGCATTGGCCATGGCAGCCTCTTGCTGGAGCTGCTTGATGATGGCAGTCTTGACCTCCTGCGGGTTGCCAGAAGCATTGTTGGAGCCGGATCCGAAGAGCGCCATTGTGCTGATGGGTAGAGATGTGATATGAAGGGAAGTAGAGGCGGAATTAAAATGTTTTTGGCAGGATAGTCAATCAGCGATACAGTAATTGTTGAGGTCACGGGGCCGGCCACAGGATCTGAACCTCAAGTCCGCGGGCGATGGCCGGCCTGTGGCTGGTGCACGTCCGTTCGCCGGGGCTGACTGCGCCACAGTTGCGATGTGGACACTTGTTTGCATGTTTACTGACGTCGATCTCTGACCAGTCTACATGGGATTCCCTTCTGACAGTTTGCTTCGGCACCGCTCTTCTTCCATTCCATTCTTCGCTCCTTCGTTCTCTTTTTGACATTTCTCCCTATCATTCTCCGGTCGTCGACTTACCGTTCGATTGACCTTGTCCTCCGTCTCCTGCCATTGAGCTCGGAGCTTGTGCATGTCCCGGTGACATTGATCTACACCTTGCTGGTGGAAAGGAACCCAATTTCGTTAGCTGCAGTCTGTCATTCATAACTATCAGAACCTACCTGCTTTCACGGTCGTTTGTGTCTGCCACTTGTTATAGTTCCTTATCAATTCCTGCCTCACAATGCTACTCCCGCGGCTTTCTTCCCTCCTGTGTCTTGCCGGCCTGGCGACTATGCCAGTGGCCAATGCTTACGACGGCGATGAGAACATCAAGAGCATTCCAGTACGCCCGCACACCCAGTCGACCGTATAACGATCGCGCACTAACTAACCGGGTCAATAGCTTCGCACTCACAGTCTCGCTCCGGTGGGTCCCATCCAACTCATTCACAGCGATTTCGACTAGGTCGGTTTCGGCGCTCTAGACACAGCCCTGTTAACGCAATGATAGCCATATCTGGATTCAGACTTCCAAAGCCGCTGGTTCGATTTTGGTGGCGACACGATAATCCGCGCAGACAAGTACCCAACCCCACCCACACGATGGTCTCAGAGGAGCAAGGGCTGAACAATGGCAGATACATCCGTCTTACGGCCGATCGACCCTCGCAGCAGGGATGGATCTTCTCCCGGGTTCCCCTTACTGCGACAAACTGGGAGGTCAGTTCATTCTGTCCGCTATGGTAATCGACAATCGGTTCTGACAAGTGTGTAGATCGAGCTCGAATTCAAGCTTCATGGAAATGGTAACCTGCACGGCGATGGCTTTGCCATGTGGCTCACCAAGCAGCGCGCCACGCAGGGTCCCGTCTTTGGTTCAACGGATAACTTCGAGGGTCTCGGTATCTTCTTCGACACCTACAAGAACAACCGTCCCGGCACCTCGTTCCCTTACGTGATGGCTATGATGGGCGACGGACAGACTAGCTACGATCAGGCGCATGACGGCAAGGCCAATGAATTGGCTGGTTGTTCCGTAAGTCATCAAGACCCGGGTAACGCAGAGGTGTGCTAACAAGATCAGGCCCGTGGTTTGCGAGGCGCTTCGATCCCCACCAAGGCCCGCTTGACGTACTTCCAGGACAAGTCGTTGACTCTCGACTTGCAGTACAAGTCTGAGGACAGCTGGACCAACTGCTTCACCCTCACCGCACCCGAGACCAACATCGCTATCCCATCCGTCGCGTACCTGGGCTTCTCTGGCGAGACCGGTGAACTGAGCGACAACCAAGACATCGTCTCGGTGAAATCACAGAACCTTTACAGCGTCGGACCTTCCAGCCGCTCTAGCCGTGGACCAAGCACCGACAGCGGTCGCGTCAAGAAGACCAAGAAGAGAAAGGGAAGCTGGAGCGGGTTCCTGTTCAAGGCTGTTCTGTTCTTGGCTGTTGTTGCCGGCTGCTATATTGGGTTCACCGTATACCGGAACAAGCAGAGATACTCGAGGTTCTAAGAGGTGGTGATGGAAGAGATTCAGGAAAAACAAAGAAACCCCCCCAAAAAAATTGAGTATGGTGTTCTGTTTCTACGTGATTGCATAGCCGTGTTGTTACTTGGAGATTCCAATATATTGCGACGAACAAAAGTTTCACGAGTCCATGCGAATTTGGAGCTTTCAATGCCAATTATGCGCCTGTCACGAATATCATGAACAGGCGCAGCATGAATAGTAGTAGTAAGGTCCAAAGACATGCGTTCAATTCTCAATCAGGGTATCATATGTAAACACAGAACGCCATCACCATGCAAGTCTCAACACCAGCTCACGACTGCCCTTTCATCTCACTCCACAGACGATCAATAATCTGAAAAACCTCAGTAACACTGCGCATAACCGTCTCATCAATCCCCAAGGCACCATACCGATGCTGAATCTTATCCGGATGCCATCTCACCCGCTCAGCCTTCAAAACCGCCAACAGATCCTCCCCCGGCGCATGGCGCATAAACTCCTCAACCGTCTCCCGACTCACATCCGCCCTCTTCCCCGACTCAACCGGCCAAAAGACCAAATTCCTCAGCCTAGCTCCCTCCCCGCCACCACCACCACCACCAGTATCCCTAACCTGCTCAACCGCCCGATCAACCTCCCCCCAAGACCGGACATAGTCCTCCCAAACGCGCCCCCAAGCCTTCACCCTCCTCCTCTCCTTCCCCCGCCGCAAGCTCTCCTCCATCGCCCTCTCAAACCGCATCTTCTCCCGCAGATCCTCCTCCCTCCTCTCCTCCCGTCTCCTCTGCCTTGCCTTCTCCGCCCTCAACCGCTCCTGCTCAGCAAGCATCCCCTCCCTAGTCCGCTCCCACATCTTCGTCCGCACATAGCTCGCATACTCCTCCTCATCCATCTGCTCGAGTTCCCCATTCGGCCCCTTAGGCACATCCGGCACGGCATAATTATGAATCGGCTGTCCATACACAGACTCCCAGTACGCGGCGCCCTCGTCGTCGCCCAGCGCATCGAACAGAGATTCCCGAAACGCTGCGTCGGCGTTGAGGCCTGGCTGTTCGTCCGGAGTCGGGGAAGCCGAGCGTCGCCGATGATGGCGTCTGGATCTGTGGCGGTGTGAGGAGGAATGTCTGTGCCGGTGGTGGTGGTGGTGGTGGGTGGAGCTGGGCTCGTCTCGTCGCGAACTGCTGGACTTGGCTTTTGATGACTTGAAGCGGAATTTGCCTGGTTTGGGTTGTTGCTTGTCGGGCTGGGGTTCGGGGGGGTCCATTGTTGTGTGGGTTTTTTTTTTTGGGTGGGGGGGTATAGTTGGACCTTGGTTATGGCATGGTTATTTTGGTTAGAAGTAGGGTGGATTAAGGGAGGGAAAATGAATTAAATGGAGGGAGGATGGGGATAAACATGAAAATGTGAGATTCAAAAGGGAGGAATGAGTAAGCGGGTGGTTTTTCTTATCTTATCTGATCATCTTGGGTCTCAGATTTGGGCGGGCTGGGATGATGTCATTCTTGGTTGGGTTTGTTTTTTGTCTAGTGCTTGTGTTTTCGGTATTTTGGTCTAGGTAGGTAAGGGTTTTCCGGGACTGAGATTGGCTTAGACTGGTTTGGACCATGGAGGCTTATGGATACTGTGTGGCTAGGCTAGGTTTGGGTGACTGTAGAATCGATTTGAGGTTGGAGTAGTTATATCCGTTGCTTTTCTTCTTCATTTCTCATATTTCTCTGTTTTCCTCGTTTGTCGGTGTTGTGTTAAGTGAAACTATGCCTAAAGTACTTTGTACATCATGAAGATATGCCATGGAGATAGCATAGTGCAAGTACCAGAGTATTCAAGCTCTACAAAACACCACCAACGAACTACTAGACAGTGAACACACTCATCAAAGCAAGTCACATACGCTGTTCTAGACGAGACCAAACCATAATCAAATCTAGACCTCGTTCTTGAAGCAACAAACCCCCCATCCCAAAGCTCAAGTCTCGCAGTCAACAAGCCATAAATTAGGGTTCCGCCTTACCTTAAATACAATGGCCCGTGCAGTACCGTCAATACAGTAATCGAACCTTCCGCCTTCACTATCGCCATCATCAATTTACTTTACTTTACTTTTACTCGCATCAACCTCCAACCTCACCCCAATCCAACAAACCCAGAAAATCCAAAAAAGAATGGCGCTAGTATCCTACTCCGACTCCGAAGCCTCAGACCCCGAACCCGAAACCACCACAAAACCCACCCCACAGACCACCACCACAAAACCGACGACCGCCGCCCCAAAACCCAAACTCGTCGACAGCAGCAACCCGCGCAAGATCCGGGTCGCGCTGGACCTCAAACCCGAAGATGCCAACGATAACAACGAGGACGGGCCAGCGCGGAAGAAAGCAAAGATAGGTGGTGGGGGCGCGTTCGCGGGGTTTAATTCGTTTTTGCCTGCGCCGAAGAGGGCTTCACCCGCTGCTGCGGCGGAGAAGAAGGGTGCTGCTGCGGGGCGGAAAGTGTTTAGTTTGAAGACGGGGGCTGAGCCGGGGTTTGATCGCGGGTTGGATGAGGAGAGTCGGAATGAGTGGGCTATGGAACAGGCGGCTACTGGCAGCGGGGGGAAGGATGATGATGATGGGACGATTCCCAAGGCTGGGAGTTTGAGGGAGGATACTGGCGACGGTGGGCTGCAGATGAAGAAGCCCGAGGAGGTGAAGCTGAAGGGGAATCCGATGATGTTTAAGCCGTTGTCTGTGGGGCGGGGCACACAGAAGAAGAAGAAAGTTGTTTCGTCGAAACCGGTCGAGACTGCTGCTCAGGAGCCGGTCTCGGAACAGGCTAAGCCTGCTGCTGCTTCTGCCTCTGCTCCTTTGCAGCCGCCTGCGCCGAAACCGAAAGTGAGTCTTTTCTCGCTGGGGTCGAGCGAGTCTGTCGCTAGTGTCGCTCAGGGTCCTCAGGCGCAGAGCGCCACGTATGAGCCGTTAGTGTATACTGCGGACAAGGATGCGCCGGAGGCCGGTCCGGAGGTAGAGCGCGAGCCTCAGGCTCCGGCTGTGTTGTCGGAGCCGGCGACGACGCAGACGTTGGATAATATCGCGGATGATCTGAATCTGTCGCGGTCTCAACGACGGCACCTCTTTGGTCGCAATGCGGACGCCTCGAAATCGCGGATTCTTCATTTCAACACTGACAAGGAGTATATTGCCAACCAGGAGATGGCGCATCAGACCGATATGGCGGTTCAGCACAACCCGGTTCGTGCCATTGCTCCCGGAAAGCACACGCTGCAACAGCTGGTCAATGCGGCAAGCTCTCAGCGGGAAGCTTTGGAGGAGAGCTTTGCTTCTGGACGAAGGAACAAGAAGGAGGCTGGGTCGAAGTATGGCTGGTAAAATATGCATTTCCTTCTTTGTCTCTCAACTCGGATATCAACGTTGTATATGTACGAATCAATTCGCATGGAAGAATAGGAGTTTGGATTTATGGGTACTACCTGGTTTTGTTCAGAGGTGCTTTGAAAGTAAATGAGATTTTAATTTATATCCCGCATTCACATACAAGAAGAATATATACATGTAACAAAGAAACGCTCTTTTCTATAACCAAACCAAAACATCAATATGCAACTTTTAGGAAGAAACATCAACAACCTCCGCAAACCATTGCTTCAACGCCGTAGCCAAAACAGCGGGTAACTCCCGAACGTCACGCACAACCAAATAGTAAGGGAATGGGAAACCTTCCAGATATCTCTTCATCTTCAACTTCATCTCCCCAGTGCCGCTCTCCGTATCAGGCTCAAAGCTTGCCTGAGTGAGATCCAAGATGGAGCTGCCCTTGACAGCATCGACAATGATGAACACAATCATGATACGTTCTTCCTGAGCCTGGCGCACAAGACGCTGGATAGTCTCATGGTCTTCACAAATACCGTCAGAGATAATGAGCTCCAGCTGCCAAAGATCAGCATTGCCCGAGCCAGGTGATTGCTTCCAGCGAGCTTCGCGGAACAGAGCGATCGAATCGGCGATCAATTTCCGAACGTTTGTACCTGTCTGCTGGTAGCTGAAGTGCTGGAACACCTGTGTGCCAGCCTCCGAAGAGAACGGCTTGCCGAATTCATGTGCGACTCTAACGTGATCCTCGTTTCCGAATCCGAGGACACAAAGATCTCCTGCTTCAAGCATACTAAGACTCTTGGCGACGAGTGCAAGCGTTTCGAATGCCAATTGACCACTTCCACTCTCTAACATAGACTTACTGTCGTCGACAGAAAGCATGATCTGGTAGTTGCGCTTCGAGGGAATTGACCGTCGCATCCAAATCTTGTCTCGCTTGTACTGCGAGGCAATATATGGAATGATGCGCTTAATATTCAGTCGCTTTCCTGTCCGGAAATCGCCACGCAGCTTGGTGGCCATGGTCGGCGCTAAGATCAAACGCAATTGTTCTGTTAGAGAGAGTGAGAGATCGTTCGTGACGGATTCGTAATGCGACCAGAGCCGTTGAGCCTCATCGCGAGGTGTAAGTGGAGGGAGCGAAGAAGACAGATGGATTGCCGCCAATTGTGCATCTACCTCATCGAGTTCCTCGATGGCTTCCTGCTGGCCAGCGGCGTCGACTGTGCGCTCCTGGGTGTGCGAGCTGCCAGGGATCAATGCACCGGCAGTTTGGTCCTTAGACTCACTAGCAGCATCCAGCTGCATCTCGTCCTGCATCTTGTTCTCGAGGGTGTCCTGGGGCTCTTCAGAAGCGTCCGGCAAAGGTTCGTTGTCACCATGCTTGGCATCCGACTCGACACCCTTGTTTTGATCAAGAGCCTGTGTTTGCTCGTCATTAGCCTGGCCAAGCGCTTGGGTATCAGCAACATCGTCTTGGTCTGCAAGATGCTCGAAATCGGCATCAGCCATGTCGGTATCCTGAGGCAACGGCTGATCTGACTCGTCCTCTTCCTGTTTAGAGGCCTCCATGATCTCCTTTTGCCGGCGATGCCACTGTTCGAGGATGTCGCCCATTTTCTTGAAGGCCTGCAACTGCGGATCGTTGCAGTTGGCATCATCTCCGCCGCCTGCGTCTCTATGCCGCTCATTGTCTTCTCCTTCGTTGGCAGCACCAGTCTTTTGTTTATTATCAGACTGATCAGCTGAGCCACTCTCCTGCTCTGCATTGCCAGATGTGCCTTGGTCCATATTTTGATCTTGGTCCGCACCGAGTCCACCATTAACAGCCTCGCTTGGTGCCACTTCTTCGCCAGCCTCTTCATTTTCATCACGTTGAGTTAAGAAATCATCCTGTTGAGCCTCTTCCGGTTCTTCTTCCCCGGGCTCATTTGTCTCTTCGGCTTCGGCCTCTTTCATTTCTTCATCTTCAGCTGCCGCTTCTTCATCACCCTGCACGGCCTCTGGGTCCTCTGCTGGTTGATCCAAATCAGGGTTCTCAACATTCTCTTCCTCTTTCCCATCAAAAGGCTGCTCATCTTCAGCTGGAGGAAGATCGTCGTCGAGACCATCGTCAAGGCCATCGTCACTCTCGTTGCCCTCGTCTTTATCCATTTCATCGCCGTCAAGCTGCATCTCTTCTGGAAGGTCGAGAGCATCTTGTTCCTTGGCATGAGGGTCCGTGACATCCATCTCCTCGCGTCCAACAGCCTCGCCTTCATCGTCTGGAGATTCTTCTTCTTCCTCTTCCTCTTCCTCCTGGTCTTCTTCATTCTTGCCTTCTCCATTTTCTCCTTCCTTCTCCTTGCTCTCTTGCGCAGCGGTTTGTTCATCAGACTCAGACTGTCCCTTGCCTTCTTTGTTCTCGGTCTCCTTCTGCTCTTCATCGTGGGCGCCATCCCACATCTTTTCATCGACTGCAGTTTCCTCAAGATCGTCAACACTGCCTACTTCCTCATCAATGTTGTCATCCTCTTCGTCGCCGCTGGCGTCCTCTTCATCATCCTCTTTCTTGTGTTCGCCTGTCTCTCCCTGTAATTCTTCTTGATCCATGTTTACTGCGTCTCCTGACTCGTCCATATCCTCGTTAGGCTCTTCAGTCTGTTCCTGTTGAGCAAGCTCCGACAAGTCTTCATCATCACCAATATCGTTACTGATATCTTCAGCTCCTTGTCCTTCGCCGAGACCCGTTCCACTCTCCAGCTTCCCAGATTTGCTTTCTTCCGTCGACGCTTCTGCGGGAGTACAGAATCCCTCAGATGCGATCTGAGTAAATGACTTGGCCAGCAAGTAGGACATTTTGCATGTCTCACGATGCACGGTCAGGTAGCGATCGACGAGATCCTTACAAATGTTGCGATACTTGTTCATGATAGGCAACAAGCTTGCAACCAATGCGACAGCAGGAGCAAGACCAGAGTTTGAACGTGTCTTGAGGCCCTGTAGCTGATCCAAAACAGACTCCAGGGAGCTTGTGATATCGGACAAATGAACCGCCTTCAAAGCCCTGGTGAAGAACTCGTCGCTCCGTGACAATGAGCCCGGGGATACGATCAGTGATGGTACCTCCTTCAGCTTCTGGAGACTGACGAGGATCTTGTCAATTGCTGTGAGCAGGCTGCCATCAAACTCCTCGATAGCGAGAGTATTCTTAGACTGCAACCCCTCAGCTTGCTCAATACTAACGTGAGCCCAGGGAGTTAGCTGCATCAGGACGAATGACAGATCAGGTCGGCTCTTGGCCCAGCCCGTAAGGTCAGTGTTTAGCTTATCAAAGGAGGAAGATGCTTCCTTCAGAATCTCTACATGTAGCTGTGAAGTTACGCCATGGGGTAACTCTGGCAGACTACCCAGTGACTTGTGCAGCTTGCTGAAGACTTCTTTCCAGGAGCGAAGGCCATCCACAATGTTCGACGAGTTGATGCCGGAGAACTTGGCGTGTAGTTCCACGACTGTCATGGAGAGGCCAAGAATAGGGGTCAACCAGGCTACAGCTCTGGCTGTATCGCGAACCTCATTCGAAAATTGGGGGCGTGACTTGAGGACCGAGGTAGGGTTAGATGTCCAAAGGTTTGAAATCTTGACGAGTGTTGACTGGAGCGATTCCACACCAGACATTGCTGGAGCTATGGCTGCTCGTTGTTTTCTAACCAAATGCAAAAGATGCTCAACGGACCCTGAGCTTCTTGAAACTTCAACATTGCTGAGGTCTTCCGAGTAATTATGCGCCGCTTGGCGAACCCGAGGAAGGATGTCCAGAAGTCTGTGGAAATAGAGATTGGAGCTTCTGACGACAGTGGTTGTTACAGAGCCAACCTCAAGAGCCGGACTGCTGGCAAGAACTTGTGCAACAGATGCCTGTGCTTCAATCAAGCTAGTGCTAGCATTACGCTTGACACCCATCTCTAGCAGCCGCCGCAAAGTATCAGCATAGAAGCGGCGCTTTTGAACCTTGAGATGTTGGACATCATCCTTGTTTTCCTCAGTCAAGGTCTTCGGAGTTTGTGATCGGAACTCCTTGATGCTTTCTAAGAAGTACTTCATGAAGCTATCGAGATCTTCCGAAACGTCAAACTCTGTCGAGAGAGACACATACATGTGAGCCATGTTGCTGACGGTGCCATCAGGATCCCTGAACCGAGGCGGTCTGTTTTGCCAGATTTTGTTCTCCTTCTGGCACAAGGCGAGCGCTTCTGGGAAACTTGCTGAAGGTAGGATCAATGCTTGGTCAGTGGAGCCAGGCTCCTCATTGTCATCTGGCATATCTTGGTCCAAGATATGCTGGACAGGTTGAGCCAAGATTTCTCGGTATTTCCGTACGAGTTTGAACAGTTTATGATGCGACCTTTTCGCACTTTCTCGGAGCGCTACAATATTTGTGTCCTTCCAACTGGCCAGCTGGATTTGTTCCTTGATGTCTTTTTCGAGTGTCGACCTCCGCTCCTTGAGTAGCTTGTGCACCGGTGGTCCGAACTGTGTGTAATGCTGCATGAAGTTATCTAGTGCGGACACCAATTGCTTCAGGCAAGGGAAATCCTGAATGTAAAGCGACAGCAGAGACCGGAAGTTCTTGACGAGCAGCAAACGTTCGCTGTACTGACCCAAGGTGGTTGAGCGGAAGAAGTTCTCCAGCGTGGCAATCACTTCTTGAGTATGCTCACTCAGGTCTGTTTGACCAGATTCCGCGAGTTGGACAGGAGCTCCGATAATGGCTTCGTAAGCCACAAACCACCATTGGCTGACATCCTGGACACATTTTTCTTTCTCGAGATCCAGAAGCCTTGCCCAGGTCGACAATTCAAGACGTCGCCAGTTAATGATCAAGTTCGTGATCTCGTCATAGACACCAGCAGCTGAGTACTCTCTGCTTGCAACAAGCTGCCACTCATGGACAAGGCCATGAAGCTTTTCAAGCTTGGTGAGGAATTTTGCGACAGGCTCGGCATGCTTGAATTGGAGTATCTCCTTGCAGCAAAGGATGACATCTGCAAGCACTGCATGTTCCGGCCAGGCGCTCTGGATCTGTAAGAAACGTGATTCTGTTGCCACTGTTAGAGATACAAGCTTTCTGCCTTCATCAGGATTTGCGTCCACATAGAAGTTGTACGTGTTCTTGGAATTATTTTCCTTGTGGACAGAATCCTCAAGCAACAAAAGAACACCAGAGAGATGATCCCTAGGATGCACCTGTGTTACTGAAGAATCACCCTCGGACCACAGCGAGGCCAACAGCTGAGCAGACTGCTTCACGTAAGCTGTCAGGACTCGCCCAGGATCTTCTGATTGGAAGATGTTTGCGTGAAGCGAGGCAAGTCGGATCGAGATATTCTTGGGATCAAGACGAGTTGGCCTTTTACCATCATCAACGGACTCCTCTTCATAAGTAGGGAAGAGCTCACGCAGCTCATTCTCATCAACCTCCTCGCTGTCTTCCCAGGATCCTCTGTATTGGTAAAGGCTCGCTTTCTTTGCCTCTTCCTCCTGATCTTCCCGTAGTTTCGCTTTCCATAACCCATGGAACTGTTCGAACAGGCGGCGAAGAGCATTGCGCCCAACTTGAGTGTGAAGAATTCCCGGATCTGCATTCTCGGCCACTCTCAAAGATGATAGTTCGTGGAACCACATGTCAATTGCATGTCTTGAGTCTATATTTGAATTCTGATGGTACAGATCCGAGAGTGGGTGATGAATGCCTCCAAGGAATGGGGTGCTTCCACTGATTGCATCCACCACCTGCACATCGCTTGACTGCTGTGATCTTCCGGACATTAGGAAAAGTCCCAGATCCAGGATTTGAAGGAAGCGAACAGCGGAAACGACTATGTCATCATATGATCTATAGTGGGTGCTGAGACGTCGACTCAATTGGTGGATATTATCACGGAGTAAATTCACCAGACTCTGAGACTCTGAAGAGATCTCGCTCGTTGCGCCAAGCATGTCTTTAGGGAGCCTTTCAAGAACTGATTTTATCACGCTGGTAAATTCGCCGTGCAGGATGCTTAGCTCAGAAACTTGAGGTCGGGTAACCGATGAAGGAGGAGGAGCAGAACCAAGGTCACGCAATTCACCCTGAATGAGGTCATGCCGGATGTTCGAGGGTTGGCCAGAAAACACCCGTTCGAATGAAGCGATGGCGGTAGCCTTATCTGTAAGTTCCGAAGAACGTTGGCTATGTCTTTGCCTTTGGACAACTAATCCCAGCGATGGATCAAATGGCTTGTCTGGGACGTAAAGCCGCAGGAGAATGGCAGCCAATTGAACTACAGCTGCTCCAGTGTGCTGAATTGACTTGTCGTTCTTTTGTACTGAGTTAGTTGCCAACAACGCAATGAGGTTTGGAAGTTCTTGTTCTGCGAAGCTCTTGAAGTAATGATCGCTTGGGAGACTCTTTTCTAAGCGGATATTCAGCAACCCAGATTCGGCGCAGTAGCCTTGCTCTTCAACAGTGCGGAGAATAGTGACCAGTTTCTCCAGAGATTGAGGCTCGAAGAATTCCTTATGGGCAATGACTAGCTCCATAGCTAGCTTCGACGATACCTGCCTCAGCACAAGATGCTGATCCATAGCAATCTCCCAAGAAGATAGAGCCAAGGCCTTGGAAAGAGTTTGCTTTTCCACCTCCAGAGAGTCCATCTGACCCAGGATTGTGACACCGACATTCGTCAGCTTCTCTAATAGTGAGAGAGACAAAGTGCCACTAATGGCTGAACCGAATGTTGATGAGTGTTCAGACCCGGAGTATAAAGCAAGTCTGTGGAGGACCTCGGGAACCTGTGTCTGGAAGGCTGACACATTCAATGGTCGTGCGTCACGGCCAGCCAGTAACGGTAAGATGGACTTTATCACATTGTCCCCTGCTTTGCTGTTATGCATGAGCGTGAAAATGTCATGGTATTGGCACAATGCTTCGAATTCGTTGGAGAAGTATGGGGATGCAATTATATCAGAGCGTTGTACAACGCTTGCCAGCTCACTAACTGTCTGTCTGAGATTCTGTACTAATTGCCCTTCATCGGCACCATGCAGGACAATGGATTGTTGAGCGTTGACCAGAGAGTTGCGCACTTGGCTTAATTGAGATAGATCAAGATGAGTCTTGGTCGCGATATTTGTAAATTCAGAAGCCACACTTTCCAGGTCTAGGATAGACTTCAGTTGGCCTCCAGTTGCAGGGGTTGCAGGTCTCCACGACTCCCAGAGTCTTTGCATACTGAGCCCAGTCTTCAAAGCCCAGCTCTCCTGGAATCGACTCAGCGCTTGGGACAGAGCGACGGCTAATTGCTGTAGAGGATCGAAAGAGCTCGATAACGCAGCGCACAGCTCTCTACCAATCTGAAGATAGACCTGAAACTCGCCCTCGTCGATGTCCTTCGCCGCAGTCAGTCTAAAAATGTCCATGCAGAAGTTGAGCACAGTTCGAAGAGCGTTTGCTATGTGAGGGTTCTGAAGAGTATCCTGCCCGAGATTCTGAATCATATCGTACATTGCCTGGCCACAGTCAGATAGGAAAGAACCAATCGGCTGTGTTGCATCCTTCATCAATGAAGGTATCCGTGCCGATGCTAAAGAACGTTCTAAGCGACTCATCTGGCTGGGTTTGAGAAGCTTCCCGGATTCATCCGCTTGCAATAAACCTTGTTTTAGAAGTTGTAGGTCAAGTTTAGACTCCTGGAGATGTGCCAGGGTCACTAGCGAAGTGTAGGGCACTTCGTTGGCCAATAGTGAGACCAGCGGCTCGTTCACAAGAGGATGAAGAGGCTGTGAAGGGCCTTGAATAGCGAAGGAAGCGCGGCTCAACTCAATGGCCTTCTTGGTAGATTCGATGGGTTTCCAGTGCGAGTTTCCATGAATAACCGATACATATCGATGCATTGCGGAGGAAAGAACATCACCCACTGATTTACCGTGATAAGGTAAGAAGTACTTTAGTGACTGCTGCAAGTAGGCAAGGTCCATGATTGAAAGATGGTCTAAGCAAACTTCACAGAGGAGCCTTGAGATATCATCAGGACTCGCCGAAGGCTCGAGATTCCAAAGAGGCCGAAGACGGTATAAGAAGGATTCGCAGGTGTAGGCAGGCACAGACGTAGTGACTGCAGTCTCGTCTTCCTGTGGCAAAAAGCATATTTCAACGCAACGATTCCGCATTGCGCGGGACAATTCCCCATGGCGAGAATCCATCGTAAGGAAAAGACGGAAGTTCGGATGCGGTGTGATGATACGGGCTGATCCATCTTCAGTGCGCTGTTCATTCAGTATAAGAGCTCCATTTGGTTCAGTGAGAGAGTTCAGTCTATCAAGAACAGATGGGTTGCACAGATTTGCATTGTCCAGGATAACCCAGTAGCCGTGCTGTACAGCTTGAGTCAGGACACCTTCCGTCCACTCGAAGCCAACTTTCATTTTATCCGACTGCTTTGTTGTTTCCAGCAGAGTCTGGGCTCGGAGAAGCATATCATCAAAAGCAGTCTGTGGATACGTTTGGCTTAGCATCGTGAGGAATGTACAAATGCTTTCCAGAGAGGCATCCGGCCTTTGCAGTTTCTCGAATATCTCCAATACAATGGGGGTCTCGTTCAGAGCTGTTCCTGCTGAATTTATGGAAAGAATCTGTTGTTGAAGGAACAGAGAGACATCGTGAACGAGAGACGAAATCTCCCTTCGATAGTCAATTTGTTCAAAGCCACCAATCAGATCCATTGTATCGGTATCAGCACTGAGAGCTAATTCAACTAAGCTTGCGCCATTCACAGCTGCGAGCTTTCTGATCAGGGTGGTCTTTCCGCATCCAGACGGTCCCACCAAAATACTGGGCCACGACTGCTCTATGCACAGCATAAGGGACTCGAGGACACTGAGGTCCCTTGGGAGTACTCTCATCTGGGATTCTTGGGTTCGTTGGAGGTATAGATCTCTCTGCATGATACCAAGCCCAACCTGCATGTATTCCGGCGTAAGGTTATGGTAATAGCTCTTGTTGGGCGCCGGGACCTCGCTGAAGACTTGCTTATACAAGCGAGTGACCAAATCTCGGTCATCCTGGGAGCGGAATCTCTGTGATATTATCACGTCAAGGAAGCTATTGGCCGATACCTGTAGGGTCCCACGGTCTGCCAACTGAAGCCATCTTTGAATGTCTCGCAAGTTGATTTCCCACGGACCGCCTACAGCCCCTAATCGGCGTTCATTGACAATAGCTTTGTTCAGCAACGACACGAAATCAACTAGCTTGTCTGTCTGCCAAGATGGACTTCCAGGGAAGAGCTTTGCGCATATCCTTTTCAGATCAGTGTCGGTAAAGCTGTCAGCATAAACGACTGTAAATCTGTTAACGAATGAGGCAGGAAGGCCCTTTCTGCCACCACCTTGGTGATGCGGATTTTGTGCAGCGAAAAGAACGAAGTCCGGATGTCTCTTGAAAGATTGATCTAATTCAGCAACATAAACCGTTTGACGATGATCCAAACAGGCATTCAACCCCTCAAGAACGGATTGGGATGCCAAGTTCATCTCATCCAGGAGAACCCAGTCACCGCGTTGCATTGCTTGCAAGAACGGAGCGTCTCGCCAAGTAAATTGACCGACATCACCTCCTTCCACAGGGACATCGGAACCAAAGAGGTCTGTGAGGTCTGTCTGTTCCGAAAGATTGATACGTGTCAGAGGCTTTCCCAGTGCCTTGGCAAGGGCAGTCACCAGTGTAGTTTTGCCGACACCGGGGCTTCCTTCAAGCAGGATAGGTTTCGAAAGTTGTAAACCACGAGCAATTCTTACTGAGTTAGCTATCGTGGTGGGTGCATCCAAGATGAATTGAGGGTCTGGCTCTGTGCTTCCGTTCATTTCAAGGGCAAATGGTCCTACGCGTAGAGAACCGTTTTCAATCTCAATGGTCGACTTCTGCAGATAGATAGTTGAAGCATCGACATCAAAGAGTTCACGGAGCTTATCAAGACAGAGTCGACGATTTCCCTCGAGATCATGTAGCGCTGTCGCAAGCATCGCTGCTGGATTCGCACCCAATGTGTCTATAAACACCATAGCAGCACCCTGTACTACTGCGAATAGAGGATCCGCAGTTCGGCACTTGTTGACAAAATCAACCCAGGCGAGAAGATCACGAAGAGAAAGTGATGTGGTGGAGGAATTTTGGAAGGTACACTTGAACCACTTGGCAAACTCTAGCATTGCTTTGGTAATGTGGTCTGAGTCCAGTTCAAGCTTTCTCTGGAGGATAGGAAGAATATCCTCATCTTCAGAGAGTTGAGGGGCCCATATTTCAGTCATTCGATTACGAAGAGCAGCTGAAAGTTCGCGTTTTCCATAATCACCACCAGGATTCATTGTAGACAGAAATTGGAACCCAGAGTCAGCAACTACCATAGAGTTGATGGGTCCCTTTTCTGCAAGCAAAATTGACCTATGAGGCTCTAAAACACTGTTAAGTCTTTCCAACACTGAATCATCGGCAAGGGAGATTTCGTCCAGGAGGAAGTATTGCCCAGTCTTCATGGCGGTAATCAGGCTTCCATCAGACCATTCAAAGAGAGCATTCAAACGAGCAATGTTCGTTTGGATCCTCTGGACAAGTTCTGAATCACAGGATTGTAATTGGTCCGCAGTAAGTGAACTAAATACCTGCCTCATTTCTTCCAATGGTCGCAAAGGTTCACCTTCTTTAAGAACTGCTTGAAGATCACTCGATAGCTGATGTTCAATAGCCCCCCTGTTCCTTACAGGCCGTTGAGCACCAATGAGATCGCCTGTTTCAAGATTCACATGGGCGTTTACAATGAGCAACTGTCTTTTATAGGCTTCTGCGACTGCTTGACAGAGCTGTGTCTTTCCACAACCGGTTTCTCCTACCAGTAGAACTGGTTCATTGTTCTCAAGTGCAACGGACACCAAGATGAACAACCTCCTCATTGCTTTGGTCCAGACGACCCCGGTGGGAAGATGAGGCGCACGCTTCTCCAATTCGGAAGCACTATACACCACATCTTCATCTATACGAACTCGCATGACCTCTTCAATCACACTCTTCACAGCTGCCCTTTCCTGTGGGTTCCGAACTCGCTCTGCAAGCAACATAAAACCGTTTATCGCTAACTGCTCGCGATCATCTGCTCGTCGGAGAGCCCATCTAAAGAGATCACGTAGAGTAGCAAAACTGTTTTTCTGCTCAAAGAGTCTGTTGGCTTGACGCAGTAGAGACAGCTTCCGGTAGACAGACACTATTCTAGCACAGAATGAAGGTGCAATTTGGGAGCGTTCCTTGAGGATGAATTCCAACTCACTCTCTGGAATATCATCAAAGTGCAACTCAAGAAAACGATTCCGGAAAGCCCGGGACAGAACTTTACGACCGCCATAAAGACCAGCTGGATTTTGGGTCGCAAACAGCATGAAATTTGGATGTGGGTGAACAACTTCCTGGGTCTCTGGTATGAAAAGTTCGCGGTTATCGTCTAGAAGTCGATTCAATGCCTCCAGGACGTCCGACGGTGCCAAGTTGAGTTCATCGAGTACAATCCAATACCCGTTTCTGAGTGCCTCCACGAGAACGCCCTCTTGATAGCGAAGGGTGCCGTCATCGCTAGACACATACGAGCCTAGGTATTCTTGAAGGTCTGTGTGTTCGTGATTGTTGATACGAACAAACTTGTTTCCGGAAACCTTCGCCAGGTACTCAATCATGCTTGTTTTTCCAGCAGAAGTTGGGCCCTGCAGCAATATAGGGAACCGACGCGTTGAACTGGCTCTGACCAGGTTCTTGAGGTTTTTCTCTATGAAAGGTGTTATAATGTAATGTGGTTGTTCCTCTGGAACCAAGTGCCCACGTCGCATCCAGTAATGCTTGAACTGGACATAGTCGAAGCCATCGGTTGGAGGCTTAGGCGTCTGGCCGAGAAGTGCTCTGGCGTTCTTTGCACTGCTAAAAAGGTGTGTCTCAAGAAGTGGCAGCAGCAGTCTCTCCGACTCTTGGCTCAAAACAGTCAGGAAGCTCATGGAGAATCCTTCGAAAACTGCTCGGCGTAGGCCATAGACATGCGCGTGATCAATGACATAGATAAGGGCACGAACAAGAGTTCTTATACTAAAGTGTGGGCGTTGTCCAGCCCCATCTGTAAGCTTGTTTTCGTTGCTGAGCTTCTTCGTTTCCAGATAGAGCTGCGCAAGATCTGGTGCGATTCTCATGTCACCTAAAGTCAAATCACCAAGATACTTCTGGATCAGAGCAAGAAGATCATCCCGGTCACTATCTGGGGAGTGTACATAGAGTTCAGTAAACCGGGAGCGAAGACCAGGAGGAAGATCCTTCTTTCCTGCGTCTGTAGCAGGGTTCATAGCGCCAAATATGCGAAAGTCCGGATGTCCAAATACCCTTTCCACATCACCAGCCTCGGAAAGCAGGACAGATGGTGAGCCTTCAGTGCCGTGGTGTAGAAGGCTAGCAATGTTCTCAAGAGTGTCCGGTGAGGCCAAATTAATCTCATCGAGGAGGACCCATTCGCCATTTCGTAACGCCCTCACAATCTTTCCCTGCACAAAAGCGAAGGCAAACTTGGCATCACCCTGAGCCACCTGAGCCTCGAAGTCATTCAATTGTCCTGCGAACCTTTCCCATCTCTGCCGCAAATGCTGGTACTTGGGCGAGTCCAACTTCCTTTTCTTCGTGGGTTGCTCCTCACCCTCTTGGGAGGGCCCGTTACTAGATTTGAAGACACCATCGGCTAACCGAACAGCTTCGTGCCAAAGATGTACCAACCGTGCCCAGTTTCCTGAAGCGACGCTTTTTGCAACGGACGACAAGAATTTCTGGTTCTTCTTTGCTGAGAACGTCAACTCAAACACAGCATTGAATTCGTCAAGCATGGGAACAGCCATTGTACGGATATTAACAGGCTTGAAACCACCTAGCAAATCACTACTTTCACTCTGCTGCGACAAGTTCACAACTGTGAGCTTCTGCCGCATTAGGGTAGCAAGCTGCTGAATCACCGTTGTCTTTCCAATACCTGTCTCTCCGACAAGGAGCATAGGCTCCGCCATTTGTATGGCAGCTGCAGCCTGTTCCATAAGCTTCAACGCAGCTCTGGTTGAAGCAAAACGCGTTGATGACCTGGAAACTGAACCGCTGGGTACCTTGATCTTTCGGCAGACTTCTCTACCGAGCACTATGTTATTACCCTGATCGGAATACGCGGGAATTCGTTCACTAAGGCAGAACTGTGCTCGCTGTGGTGATATCTGAAGCGCCTCCGCGGCAACTAGGGCAAGTGACTCTGCCAATGATTTTTCTGGGATGTAACTGAGGAATATGTCCACAACATCCAAGAATATTTCATCCTCAGCACCTTCCGGCATAGCTTCATAGCCAGTCTTAGCTCCTAGACGCTGCAGTCGCCTATGCATCCGGCTACAGAGTTTGATAAGATCACGGAGACCTGGAGTCCGGCCTTGAGAGCTCTTGATCGCGAGGCTTCCGTGAAAAGAAGAGCAAAGCCTTTGGTAAACATTCATGATAGTCGGAACCCGAGACTCAAGAAGTGGGAATTTTTGCGTAATGACTTCTTGGATTTCGTCAATTGAGAGGGGTTCGATGTGAACCCTCTGCCACAATCTGCTTCCCAGGATTGTTGTGCTTGGAGCGACTTCTTCGCCTGCGATATTATATGATGACTTCATGGTCGCAATGATCTTGAACCCCTCAGCGCACTTTATCCGTTCTTTTCTACTTGCTATAGTCAATTCTCCTTTCTCGATGATAGGCAAGATAAGACCGATAACTTCAGAAGGTGCACGGTCTAAATCCTCGATTAGAATCCATCGGCCTTCCCTGGCTGCTTTAGTCAATACGCCTGGTTGCCATGAAAATGAGCCAGTGGCAGGGGACGTTGAGTACATCCCAAGAAGACTCTTAGCATCCGTCTGCTCATTTAGATGTAAGGTAACCATAGATTCAGACTGGCCCATGGTTGCGGCAACGTCATTGACCAAAGAAGTCTTGCCAGAATTCGGTAAACCAACTAATAGCAAGGGATTCGAGGCAGTCAATGCCGTCGCGATCCTACGAAGATTCCTCACAGCGGTAGGCGCTTTCACAATTGAAGATGCTGGGGTTGGCATCTCATTTAGTCGAGGAATAAGAACACCGCAGACTTCAGCAGTCCGGGGCGTGAAATACTCCCGGAGCTTCTCAACTTGTGATAGAATGTCCTCGACCGACCGACCTGACCGTGCAATTCGTGTCTGTTTCTCCAGAGTACCCCACCGACGCTCTTCCCACAAACCAAGGCAGCGATAGTCGATCACGATCCCTTCCCATTCACCTTCAATAACATCGGCACCAATATACTTCTGAACCATTTTCTCAGTGGCAGCATCCGCTGCGTGCATATACAAGGCAAAACATCGAATCGCAAGATACCGTATGGAGGGGTCTGGATGTTGGAAGAGGGATTGAAGGCGTGACGGCGAGATGGTACTCGAGAAAGTCTCTAAGTCATATGAGAGAAGTCTAAAGACCGACAATAATAGTGTGCGAATAGTGGTATCATCTAATTGCAGAAGCGTTGCCTCGTCAGATGCAGCCAAAACGGATAGAGGTCCAGCCCGAGAACTAGCATATTGGCTTGCGAAAGAAGCAAGAAATGGCGCAAACGGTAGGATTCGTGAAAAAGCGGAGATAATGTCGACTTGGTTATTATGAAAGTCTGAAGCAAGCCATCTTGCTGCCAGATCCACAAAGATCGGCTCATATAGGCAGAAAAAGCCTTCTGTACATTTTGATCGCAATGCACCAACCGCAAGCGCATTGAGGTACTGAGTCCCCGAAGATGTGCGAATGAGTTCCGCTACCTCATTCGGAAGATGCTCAAAGAGCTGGGACTCTTCAAGAGTCCTCTCATAGGCAGGTCTGGTCTCCATGCTCAACCCTACCTGCAGAGGAACTCTTATAATGAGTTAGAGAGAGAAGGAAATTATCGATGCCGATAGCAGTAACTTTTTTTTCCAAGCCGTTTTCTGCCGCTATATGTGGCGCAGCCCCACACTTAGTATGCTCACCGCCTTACGTTAAGTCGCGGAGCGGAGCTTAAGCCACATCTCCGAGATTCGGACCAGTTGTCGTAAGTCGAGACCGGTATAGAACTGCGGGATCGTCAACAAAGGATATGGCTTCCTGCAAAGTGGATATTAACACTTGTACATAGATTTCTGTGCCCACTATGCATTCGGGAGGCGAAGCTGGGGCCTCCTCGTTCTCCTCAGAGCTGCGCAGCCCACAACATTCCCCGACACAGCGCCGTGACAGCAACCTATCTTCACCGGATCCTCACGAATTGAATGATTCACTCGCCGGAGGTTTACATGAGCCGTAAGGTTCCAATTTATTTGGACTATCCATGTGATTCTAATGGAAGACGTGTACAGTATATCCTTTAAGCGCAAACAAAAGCAGCGATCCGGTTTTAGCTTATCGAATCTATTTTCCAATAATACTACGGAATCCGTTGCTGGAGACGCAGCGTTCACGTCTTCGAACACGCGAAATGGACAGCTCCATGGAAGCGCATCATCTGCATGGGATCGACCGATGAGCAGCAATGGAAATGTCACTGCGCAAAAGGATGGCGGTCTCCTTGATTGGTATGTGGAAGGTCCAGGGCGACGAGTAGGCTATGATGACCTCACCGCAATCGACTGGATATTTGAGTACACAAAGGAGCGCCAGCGGAAGAGGCATCTATATTCCCATGGCCAAGGGGCTGTAGGATATGTATTCAAGTTTCTCGACGCCAGTAATGTCTGGATAGTATTGATTGCTACCGGAATCTTGGTCGGGATCATTGCAGCTTTTATTGATGTCGCAAGCGACTGGTTAGGAGATTTGAAAACTGGGTATTGCAAGAATGGGGCTGGGGGAGGCAAGTTCTACCTAAATAAAAGCTTCTGTTGCTGGGGTCACGATGGTAAGCTATTTTCGCACCGTGGTTGTACTGTGATTTATCTATACTAAACCATCAATTAGATATCTCTAATTGTCTCGACTGGACACCCTGGGGGAAAGCACTAGGCGTTACCTCTTCCGGCGGCGTCTTCACGGTTGAATACTTATTCTACGTCCTTTACTCTGTACATAGGTCTTGTCCGTTTTGAATTATATATACTAACAAAGACTCACAGGTACTCTTTGCTATATGCGCTACAGTCTTGGTTAGGACCTATGCACTTTATGCGAGACACAGTGGTATCCCTGAGATCAAGACAATTCTCGGCGGCTTCGTGATAAGGCATTTTATGGGACCTTGGACGCTTGCGATAAAATCTTTGGGATTAGTAGGCTTCCCTCAAAATACACGCTATGCATATTTAAGCTGACAATTACAAAGTGTCTATCTGTCGCATCTGGTTTGTGGCTGGGTAAAGAAGGTCCTCTTGTTCATGTCGCCTGCTGTTGTGCCAGCGTGATAATGAAGCCTTTCGAAAGTTTGAACCATAACGAAGGTACACGCTCGTTATAGCCATGCCAATCACATAAGCTAATTATGCAGCGAGAAAACGCGAAGTTCTGTCCGCGGCCGCCGCTGCAGGTATCTCTGTTGCGTTCGGTGCCCCAATCGGGGGTGTCTTGTTTAGTTTGGAGGTATGACCTTTTAGAGACACCATCCCTCATAGGCGACCCCTTACTAATATTGATCAGCAATTATCCTATTACTTTCCCGACAAGACAATGTGGCAAAGCTTTGTCTGTGCCATGGTTGCTGCAGTGACGTTACAAGCCTTAAACCCTTTCCGCACGGGTAATATTGTCCTTTACGAAGTCACGTATACACGCGGATGGCATCGCTTTGAGATGATTCCGTTTGTTACCCTTGGCATATTAGGCGGCCTATATGGAGCGTTTCTTATCCGCTTGAATATGAAAATTGCTCAATGGCGACGATCTCGTAGTTGGTCACGACCAATTGCAGAGGTGGTGTTGGTAGCTCTTTTAAGTGCGTTGATCAATTATCCGAACTTGTTTATGAGATCTCAAAACACCGAGCTTGTTCATTCTCTCTTTGCCGAATGTGGAAATGGGGGCGAAGATACTTTCGGTCTCTGCAAGACTGGCGCTGCGTCCGTTACTACGATAGCTCTTTTGCTTATGGCTGCGATCCTTGGTTTTTTCCTTGCATCGATGACCTTTGGTTTGGATCTACCCGCTGGTATTATTCTGCCTTCCGTTGCCATTGGTGCTTTATATGGGCGTGCTCTAGGTACGACTTTCAAGATGTGGCAAGAAGCTTATCCCAGCGTCTTCCTCTTCAGAAATTGCGAGCCAGATATCCCCTGCGTCACCCCCGGGCTATATGCAATCGTTGGTGCAGCTTCAGCTCTTGGTGGAGCCACTAGGATGACTGTGTCGATAGTGGTCATCATGTTTGAACTCACTGGGGCTCTCACTTACGTTATCCCAATCATGATTGCAGTCATGCTATCGAAATGGTGCGGCGACATATTCGGGAAACGTGGCATTTACGAGTCTTGGATTGAGTTGAATGAGTATCCTTTCCTCGACCAACGTGATGATACTACTCCGCCCGATGTGCCTGCTCATAAAGTCATGACAAGTGTGGATGATTTAACAGTCATTACCGCTGTGGGTCATACAATTGACAGCCTTCGGCACCTCCTCCTGACCACTTCATACCGTGGATATCCCGTCGTAACCGATACGTCAACCCCTACCCTTCTAGGTTATATCTCTCGGAACGAACTTTCGTTTGCTTTGAAGTATTCGAAGTCGCCTACAGACCGAGAATTGTCTGGTGAAACCCAGGTCTTTTTTACTCATCAACCTTTTGCAGATCCGGTGGAGACGCTTGATCTTCGTCCATGGATGGACCAGACCCCTATCACCCTGAACAGCAGTACGACATTCTCGCTAGTGCTTCAGATGTTCCAAAGGCTTGGACTGCGGTACATCTTACTTTCGGACAAAGGAGTTCTCCAAGGCCTGCTCACTAAAAAGGATGTTTGGTCGGTCATCAACGGACCAGAGTTCCGGAAAGGCGGATTCTCTAGAGAGAGTGTAGTCCGCCCAGCGAATACGGCAGAAGAGGTTGGACTCCTGGAGAACGATGACGTGACCAGTCTGGCCAGCTCTTTAGAAAGGCGCCAGTCGCTCTGATTTCTTGCACAGAAAATAGTGCTATACCGGAACATCCTTGAAGCCGATATAGCGCGCCCTACGATCGGCACATCCGACGGTGCCTATATTTAGATCCATGACGCGAATCACGTTTACTTGGTTTTGAAATCTAATAGAACTTGGTAAGGGATAGGGCTGGTTTCCTTGGTAGATACTCAATGGCGTTGTGTTGCCTTTTCTCCTTCTTTCCTAGTTTTCAGTCGCTTGACTAACAGTCAGCGCACCTTCCTGTTAGTATATATATATAGCATCCATCCTCTGTACTATGTGCATACTATACATCTTTTTTCCCTTCTAAGAGAGGACTTTGGGATCTCACCTCTATACCTAAACTTAGCTAGTTAGATGAATCAGTTGCTTCCCAATCAGATGGGCCAGGCTACTAGTAACACTAATAGCTACCAGCAAATATACATTCAGTGCTCAGTAGTAGCTGCCAACCCCACACATTCTGCCAGCAAAATCCATCTGACCGCCCTTCACCGACCAATCGGTGCCCCCCACCCATGATAATTCCCCGACTTCTTTGCGACAGCTCTGAACAATTACAAAACCCTCAGTTCAAATCGCGTGCTATATCTTCTCCAGACCCCTAGCTGAGCTGTGAATCCGCAACCATGATGGCTGATCCGTTTGAAGTTCGCATGCGCTTTACTGCGCAGCTACAACACCTAAATGCATCCATTACATCCTCCCAGAAAGCTGCCCATTATGCGCTCAAATACCGCGATATGGACGAGGATCTTCACTCATGTATACTGGAACAGCTTGAAAGGGTACGCATGCTGATTCCGCCAGCTATAAGGCTTCACTTACTAACCTCCACGGTCTTTTTGTTTAGAATAATATGAACAACCGAGCTAATATCATGTATTTCATCGAACAATTCTGTGAAATGGCCACGAAGGAAGATCATGCACCATACGTCCGCATGATCCAGAGGGATATTTTACGTGTAGTAGATGCCGTTGCACCACCGGATGGCTCGGGGGCAGCGAATGTGAAGCATGTGCGTCGGGTTCTCAACGGATTACAAGCCAAGGAAATCCTTTCAGCGGAAACGGTGGCGGAGATCAATGCCGGTCTGAAAGACCGTGAGACACATCCAGCACATCTTGATCTGGAGGCTGATGAGGGGGTGGAAGCAAAGGCTGGCACCCCACGAGGCTCCAGGGGAAGTGTCCGTGTAGACAAGAGACAGATCGAACAGAGAATCGAAGAAGACCGGGAGCGAAACAAGCGTTTACGAGAGAGTATGTGGACAGTCAGCGGCGACGATGGTGATGAGCACGGGAAGTTTTGGGATGAGACCAGCGATATTGGCGAAGACGATTTCCTGGCTGCGAATGAGGAGTTTATGGAGCGCAGACAAATGGTTAATGCTAAGTGAAGATGCTTGCATGGCCTGTTCTCTCCTGATCTTGACTTTTATGAAGCTTCAGCGGTTTTGAAAAGTATATACAGCAGGTGTTCGGTTCGGCGTTACGTTCCTTTACTACTTGGGTCATGGGTATGGATGATACCATTTACGTGAATTGCATATGAGATACCATGTTCCATTTGACATTTCTCCTGTATACCAGTCTTGAACCTGGCAGCTGGAGCTATTCACTACTTACTCAAATAGTACTAATTTATGGCTACCACTTTAATAGCCCCACATTAACACCTTTCCGCCTTCGGAGAAAAGTGGTCCCGTGGAGATCATGAAAATGAATTTCCTGAAAAAAAGCGCCGAGTTTGGACGCAATAACATTTCTCCATATATGCATGGTAGCTAATTTTTTGAATCGGACCATTCTGGATCCTCTATGTTTTCCAATATTGTCACTGCGGCAAAGGGTCTATTTACTCGACAGGATACCGACAAATCGCAATCGAAGAAATCTACCACTACCTCATCCGACAACGTAATCGCTAGCAAATCGAAGATGGTCACAACTAGGCGGCGCAAGATTTCCGATGTTGCTGCAGAAGAGGAACCTGAGATCAATGGACAACAGGAGGTGAACGGAAAGCGCAAATCCGGGCCAGCCGGTTCTGGGAAGACGGAAACCCAGCGCAATAAACGGAGAAAGCGAGCCAGTCTTGAAGCCGCAGAAAGTGAGAGCGGGACTCCCGAAGAGCCTTTAGACGATGCCCAAGAAACGGATTCCAAGCAGGAAGAGGGAAAATCGGCACCTGCTCCGAAGAAGCACTTCAGATTTGATAGCGAAGAACCTGAGGTACCGTTGGATATACAGATAGAGGAAACAGCAGAGACGCAACAGGCAAAGGAGGACAGCGGCGATGACAGCAGTGATGATGATGAGGCTCCTGAAGCGGTTGATAACTCGGCGCAGTTATCTAAGGTTAGAGCGCAGGCTAAGAAAATGGAAAAGGCCAAACAATTGTCAGTAATAGCCTTTGCTATTTCCCCGATATAGCTCGCCCTACTAACTGTCCCACAGAGAAGAAGAATTAAAGCGCGAGAAGAGAAGGCAGTTGGATGAGCTGCGTAAATCACAAGCGAAAGTTTCGAAAAAGAAAGACAAGCCAGTTGATGATCTGCCATCCGAAAGCACGGAGACACTCCAGGGCTCTAATACACAAGATGCCCGGCGATCGGCTCTGCCAGCGCTTCTTCCAGACGATATTTTGAATGCGGCTCCTGTTACACGACCACCCACTCCACCCGCAGAAGGAATAAACCTTGCTCACAAGAAGCCAACCAAGTTGAAATTCCTGGAAAAGTCCGAGAAGCGCCCCAAGGATGTGAAGATGGGCGACGTGACGATTCGGGTATTGGGTGATATTCCACAAAAGAGAGCCAAATCGGCTCTGCCCCCGAAGGCCTCGAAATCCGGTCGGAATAGTAAACAGACTTGGCTCGACCGGAGTCGCAGTACTGGGCATGTGAATGGTCTGAGACGGACAGCCGGCGGTTCCTCCGGATTTGTACGCAAGTAAACGGCCTTATCTTTGCCATCGAGCGGCTCGGCGGTGGCTAGCAGTTTTTAATCCAAGATCAAGAGCGAATTGAACCAATTGTCCCTCCGATCACTCTCGAGAATCATCTCAGGAATGGCAACTAATGCCTTTCGCTTCTCTCTGTATATCGCCACACCAATTTCGAGGGATTGGTTTCGCATCCTCCGCAATGTGCAAGGTCCAAGCAGGTCTTGCTCCCAGGAGTAGGTTACAGAGTGAAGGATACACAGCAAGCAAACTTCGATCATGCAGCTGGATTTGACTTCAAAAAGTCCCGAATTTCCTGTATAGACATATAATGTTCTACGGTAGATAGTTATTAAGTGTTGTCTAGGCGTCTGAGTATTGGGTACAAGGCGCTTGCAAAAAGTGGATTCTATTAGCATTCTTGTTATTGTTTTCTTGAAGTAGATGCTCTGAGACTTAGTCCAGATTGTTTATATCCCACCTGAAAGGAAAAGTAACACAGAAAAGTAACACAGAAAAGAACAAAGGAAAGAGAAAGGAGATGTATACAAAGAGATCAGTACCAACCATATATAGAATAGCCTAAACCGTGGGCAAAGTCGAAGTACAGGCTTGTTCTATAGCAGGTTAGCCTCTGGTGGGCGCACGTGCGAAACTGGAAGCTTTGGTTAATCCATTCTTCACCTCCATTTCGACGGAAAGATCTTCCGGGGCTATTCTTTGCTCATTCTTTAACATCCACCTGCCCATCAATGGCAGGTTTTTTATGATTATCTTCACCTACTATATCCAACATGACTTCCACCGCGGAAACAACGCCCCTACTCCCCCAACACCAACAGCAACCCGCACCATCTAATACGTCACCGCGAGCGAACCGGCGGACAGTCACCTTCAACCCTCTCACCACGGTCAGCACATACCACGATGCCACTTCTACAAACGCTCCAGTTCGAACACTATATTCCGGCCCTTCGTCATTCCCGAGTTCCCAGGATGCCCCGCAACGACCGACTGGATTATCCGCATTGAACAGCAAGCTCCGTCGCCGGAATAGCCATGGAGCGCCCTACAGTGCAGCGCCCTCAATGCCTGTGGCACCCAAAGTCGGCCCACAAAGAACGACAAAGAAAGCCCAGAAATTGAAACTTCTCCCTGATCCGATAACTGAGGAGGCTGCTGAAGGCGAATTCCCTTCGGACGTCTACTCGCAAATCGCACGGATTAAAGAACCCACTGCTCGAAGCCATGCTGCGAGACTGGGCAAGGCAGACAGAGAACGATTACCCCGCGTGACAGCATACTGTACGGCCAATTCCTATCGACTAGATGGAGCGACCAGGTTTCTCAAATCAAGGTCCAAAACCCGTGGAGCCAACCCGAAACTCTACGATGAGTGTGTTTACTCGCCTTTCGACTACCTGTATGAAGAAAAGCAAAGAAGTACATCAGAAAATAATGTTGGCATGAACAATGTGGGCACGATGGAAAACTTCCAGAGACCAGCCACTGAGCGCAGGTTCTCCGACAGTGTGGTTGAAATCGAGGATAATACTAAATCTCGGAGGGAAGACCTCATCGACCTTCGCGACTCAGAAGCTCACCGATCCGAGAGTGCCGTGGCGGAAACTCAATCTGAAACCCCAGACTTCGACACCACAATTCACACCCCGGAGGTATTCCTCTTCGACTATGGCACAGTCGTCATATGGGGCATGACGCCCGCACAAGAGTCCCGGTTCCTGTCCGATATCTCTAAATTCGCAACCTCCATCTTGAGTCCTGAAGATACACAGGTCGAAAACTTCAATTTCTACTATGCGCGTGAGTACCAAGCTCGCATATACAACGACTTCATCTCCCTGCGCGAACCGCGAAACCACATGATCAAACTGGCCATCTCCCATGCCCTCGCTCAATCGGTGAAGACCTCTCTCTTCGAGGATCTCGTCTCGGAAACTATCTCGAATACTGCACCACTGCCTGCCCAAATTGCACAGACAGGCAGTGTCAATCTCACACGGCGCCAAATTAACATGCAAGTCGGAGAATTATTCATTCTACGAATCAATATCCATCTTCAGGGCTCGGTTCTAGACAGTCCAGAACTAATGTGGGCAGAACCACAGTTAGAGCCTGTCTACCAGGCCGTGCGGAGTTACCTCGAGATGGACCAACGAGTCAGTCTCCTGAACGAACGACTAGACGTGATTGCAGATCTGCTGGCCGTTCTTAAAGACCAATTAACTCACCGGCACGGTGAGTATCTAGAATGGATTGGTAAGCCGCCACCCTCTACTACCCTGAAATCCAACTACCATATACTAATCCAAATGCAGTCATTGTCCTCATCGCTGCAGAGATCCTTGTTGCAGCCATCAATATCGTGGTCGACTTATACGCTGGCGTTGATTAAAGTCCCCGTCAATGGACGATCATCTGCCTCATCATGTTCACAGTTTTATCGTTCTACATTCCGCTTTCATTAATCATTCTTCCCATTGCATTGTACTGGAACTGGCGTCAGGGCGAACGGACAAGATCGCATTGCTATGATAGCTACGCATAACCATCTCATGTACAATACAGTATGACATTAACTACACAGGCGGGTGCAAAAGACCGAACAAGAATAGCTTTTCGGCACCATCTACAACAACACACTGTTCTTTTATCAAAGATACAACTCCAACTTGGTAACGGTAGCTGCCATCAACCACGTAACCGACAACCCATCATTCCCATCCCACGAACAGAATGTATATTTCGCACCTCATCCAAAGACAAAAATGGGATATTAAAAAAACTCAAACTCCCTAATCTTAATTTTAGTAAACAAAAACAAACAAGAACCCCGAGAACCCCCCCCCCCCGGTAGATATAGGAAAAGAAGATGGAAAAATGACACACAACTAAGAATATAAGATAATAAAGATACAACACCCCAACCTATCATCCACTGAGCCCAAAGAGAATCCCGCAACTAACTGTCCTCCTTCGACTCCTTAGTATCCATGTCCATAGGCGTCGTCGGCTCCACAGAGACCTCTCCTTGGCCAGGTTCTCTTGACCCGGACTCCGGGTTCTGGCTACCGCCACGGTCACTTCCAGAGCCGGTATTGTTCTCTTTATCTTGTGCCGAGCCGTTGCCCGCCTGGATGCGGAACGAAGAAGTCATGTCCTCCTGCGACGGGGCAGGCGCTAGCCGCGGAAGCGAGGCCGACCCAGCAACGGACGAAGACTCAGGCGCATTGTTAGCAGACGGGGCAGCATCATCATCCACACCGTCGCCGACATTTGATTTCCGCGATCGTTTCACACGGAGGGGCCGTTCTTGGGGCTGTGATAACATTTGTTAAATCCATCCATTCAGGGGAGTGGGGGGGAAGGAAAGAAAAAGAAAAAGAGAAAAAACTAACAGTAGGTGGCTGTTCATCCGAGCTCCCCTCCGTATCATCCGCAAAATACGCACCACCACCGCTACCACCACCCTCCTTGTCACCGGGGTCCAGAACCGCCGCATTGGACATCATTGCCGCGGCGCGGGCCCGTAGCTCCGGGTTGACGCCTGCCTGGGCCTCCTCTGCCATGCCGGTGACCTTGGCTAGGCGCTCGAGCAGAATGCACGACTCGAGACGCATCTTGTGGATGTATTGCCAGCCGCGGCGGTTACGGACGCGCATGAGATCGTTTTCTTTCTCGATCTCATTTAAGCGCTTCTTTAGAGCGACGCATTTGCGTTTGTAGGCATGTTCGACGCTTGGGGGGTTTGAGGACTCGATTGACGTTGACTGGTTTGTGGAGGGTTCCATTGTGTTTGCTGTTATATGGCGGCTTTTCGTTGTGATTGAAATTGAATTGTTGTTGTCGAGATCTGGGGTAAAAGTCGAGATTCGAGGTGAGATCGGTGATATGATTCGTAGATGAGGGTTTGGATGGGGGAGTTGAGGTCTCGTTGCGGGATTAATTGGGGGGGTTGCGTTGAGTAACACTTGGTCTCAGACTCCCAGTCGACAGAAGTGGTTCAGGGACAAAGCGCTGGCGAGTGAGAGGTGCTGTGTACGTCTGGAGGATGCGAAAGTCGTCGGGGATCCCTTTCCACGGGACCGGTAAGGTTCCTCGGCGAGGCACGAGACAACAAGGATCTTTGAGTTTACTGAAACCAACGATTACTTCTGACTCAAAGCTAGTCTCGCAACAAGTGGCGCGAGTTCAAATGACACAATTCTGCCCCAATCGCTGGTGTCTGATTACTGGACTGGCGATGGTTTGGAATCGCGGCTGCCATTCTGCCGGATCGTGATCGGAGGCGGTCAGCGGCGCTTGTGTCTAGACAATTACTATGGCATATGAAACCCTACGACGAACTATCAAAGTCGTGCATCATGAACATTAATCATTCTGGACTTTCTACTAGGTTCATAGCGTTGATATCTAGATCGGTCGATATGTAAGGTTTTAATGCCCACCAGTGGTCGGAAGACCAAGGAACACCTTGAACGAGTCATAACTATATAAAAGCCGTCAATCACTGTCAGTAGAGAAGATGATGAACCACTTACATCAACCATTGGAACCCAGTCAGTGTACCCAGCATGACGATACGGACGGGAAGACCATTCCATAGGCCCGAAAATCCGATATTTCCATAAATGCGCGATACGGCCTTCATGGCTGACTCACCAGCTAAGATACCGTCAGCACCAAATCACAATGACCACCCATCAAGACTCATCAGACCCAACTCACCCTGACGATCGGCATTAAGCTTGCTAACCATAACATCAGCCGGGTGGCTGACAATCGCACAGAAAATGCCCGCAATGTAACCGCCCATGAAACTGATGCCAGTCTGCTGCAGTCCACTGCAGCTGTCCTTCGGTTTGCCCAAAGTCTTATAGATGGCATTGACCGTCTCCTCAAAGGTAGCGAACTTGGTCATAGTGTAAGGGATCTGTCGCGCCCAAAGTGGATACAGTCCCTTATACAGACCGCCGAATCCTTCTTGAGCAACAATCTTGCTCCAGCCTTCGCGCATCGTTTGCGCAAAGGGCGGCAGAGTCGTCTGCATCCGCACCTTGATCGCCTCGAAGGGGCAGAGGGCCATGTCTGCGATAAATTCGGCCGATGCACTGGCGCCTAGGTATACCACCGTGCGGTTCATGTTGGGGAACATTTGGTCGCCGTAGAGGTACTTGAAGTACTCGTAGAATCCATATTTACCTGCGCCCTGGAAGGAGTACCCGATGAATGTTGGAGACCAACCAAAGAATACTCCGCGTAGTCCTTCCTTCGCGAAGATAGAGCGCCACGCTGAGATATTCGAGGTGTAGATCTTGGGATCAACCTGACGGCGACACTTGACCAGATCAAGTGGTGTGACTGATGTATGGGTAGGTCCTACGAGATGATTACAACGTTAGATTGCGCCCGCGGAGAGCGATATGGTCTTGAATTAAAGAACGTACCACATGCTGTACATGACGACCAAAGCGAAGAAGAAGAGATATGTTAGCATTGCTTCTTTCAAGTACATGGCAACTTCAGAGGAAGCCTACCGATAATGCCTCCTAGGGCACAATTCACGAAATATTTCCCCGTATTAGGCTCGATCTTCCCCATGGGAAGTCTGCGTTCCTGCGTAGCCATGACGGGCGGTAGTGTGGTAAAGTCTTGAAAGATTACGGCAACTGGTGTAACTGAGAAGCGTGATTACTTGAATGCAGCAACAAAGCAAAGCTCAAAAGCGCTGAATTTAGTTCAATGCAGCTTAAAGAAGGATTCTAGGCTGGCAAACAGAGTCAATTGACTATGCTGAAGGAAGGAGGGGGGGGATCGTCCCAAGTTCCCCGAAGAATGTGTAGATATGAAGCAGGGTGTGCCGAGGGGCATTCGGTTAGGCTATATAGAACCTAAGTCAGGACAATGTCGTCAGCAACCGCAGCTTATCTCGGGGGTCTGGACCAGTAACTGGTTGTCCAAGGACATTGACTTTGGTAGTTCAAGGGTCCGTGAACGGCTAAGCCGGCATGCAGCCCTGAGCTGGACTCACTATCATCTCGGATGTGGAGCGCCGATGTGCAAAGGGGCTTGATATTAGGCCCGGATTTATGCACCAGGAGTACTCCGACTACGAACGAGTTCCCTGTTCGTTTATGTCATGGACAGACCGTCCAAAAGTGGAGCCAATATCAATGACGTCATTCTATCCGTCCACTACCGGAGCTTGACCATAATGCTGTCTATTATAGATCGAGGCTAGGAACAGGAGATATCATTCAAATATACAAGGAACGAGAAAGAAACCCATCCCCTTCGCCAATAGTACAGGAGTTCATAAGCATTATACACGGTAGTCGTAAACTATATTGACAGCTGCCCACACGACAGGCTTCATGTAATGTACAAGGGTTTTAGCCCGTCGATGGTAGAAAACGGTAAGGGTTTGGGGTCAATGCGGTTGCATATTGGGACATGCTTCCCTGTTGCGCCAATATAAACGCCAGCTTGATGCCCAGCACAGAGCCGACACTGCCCAGGGCGCTTCGGATTTGCTCCATCTGTGCCACTGTGCACATGCCGAACGTCTGAACATACCATAGCGGCCACAGCATCAGATATCCGTAAAGAGCGCGAATGGGAGGTCGTCCCTCAGTAGAGGTTGGGATTGATTGCCCAAATGCATCGATGTCCCCTAACGAAAATGGAATGCTGCGACAGGTGTCACTAGTCATCTCCTGAATCTCCTCCAGCGCCGCATGGCAGTGGACATCGCTGGCCTGGTTGTCGCCGACAAGCGAGGCAAGGTTCCGGCGTAGATCAAGTAGATGTCTCTGGAGGCTAATCCGAGCCGCGCGGTAATATGTCCAAATTGCTGCAATAGATGCATTCTGATAAGTCATGAGCGATCCGCCCGTAGCCGTACTGACGACGAGGGGGAGCCAGTGATCCGGTAAATGCTGACTCCAGTTAGCCATCTCCAGAGCTAAGGAATTGCCGGTCTCTATCCATGTAGTGAGTTGTGTAATATTATCTATATCTAATGACCCCTGGTGGGAAGAGCTTTCGGCAAATAGCTGACCAATCTTGGATGCCGTTTGTATTAGCCTAGGCACTGGCTCGGATCCGTCAAGTTGCCCGACAATCAGTTCTGTACTAGTACTACCATGCCGGGGCCGTGTCCGTAGGACTATGCTCTCAATAAGCTACGCAGCTCGTTAGTCTTCTCCGCACATAATCGGGCAAACTAAAACTAACAGTATGCGCATAAGCACAAATGAACAAATCTCGACCTTGTGCATGGCTTAGTTGGCTTTCACCTCGCATCGCCATCAGAAGTCCGAATCCCTTTGTATGTGAGCTGTAGAGCCCGTTTCGTTCTCCGGCGATGTCTTCAAAGATGGAGAGAATGACCATCGTCGCAAAAGTTTCGTCTTTGACTGCCTGAGACCGTGTGCCCAGTAAGCGCCGAAGCCCATGGAGCGCCGAGCCATAGTACCCTCTTGCTTTGAGAAGAAGCGGAGGCGCTTTCATATGGTTGCTTAGTGTAATGAGAGCAGCTGCTTCGGTTGCCAGCTTTAGGCAGGAGGATACCGGATCGTCTGGCCTACTGTCACGACACGTAGCATACAGGGAAGGCAAAAACCCCAGGTGGTTCAATGCCTCATCACTAACACACGTGAACTGATCAAAGAAGTGGCAGACTGCTCGTTCCTCCCACGTGGAGTCGGCGACATGGGGAAGTATTAGTGGCAGTTCTAGACTGCTATGACTGACGGAAGTGCTATGACTGACGGAGGAACTCCGACTGCTGCGCTGGCTATCCGTGGGTGTGATGCTTCTTTTCCTCATCAGCCGTTCCACTTTTTGATTCTCATTCCGGAAGATCGTATCTGGTCGATATCCTGGACATGGTCGTCCGTATACAGAGCAGTTTCGACATCCCGGTAGCGCTTCATCACACTTTAAGTTGCGCTTAGCTTCGTGGTCCGAATCAAGATGAATGAACCCTTGGATTCCATGGAGTCCAGCCGGGTAAGGAAGGTGAAAGTGAGGCTAGGATAGCAAGGTTCTTGTTACAATCCTACCTTGATCTTCCGTTTGCGGCACAAGTAGCATCCCGTGCTCGGCTTCCCCCCATATACCATATTCGCGTACTATAGCTTAAGTAAGTTCGTCCCGCTGAGTGATTCAAATATAGCAGAAGATAGTAGCAAACGACCCAGTATTTCCCGAAAGCAAGCAAAGTGAAAGGGAGAGAAGAAGAGAAGGAAATAGTAGGAACTGGTTCAAAGTCGGAAAGCCCTTTTCAAGAACCGTATACCTGCCAGGCCATTGAGCATAATGCGTACAGACGAACCTGGGATACGAGTATCTGGTCGGTCAGGTGTCTATCTTGGCAAACTCTGTGATGTTACCTCGAAAGATAACCCGAACAGTTTAAAAACCCACTATAGTGAGTGCCTCCATGCCTCTAGCGGGGATGCGGAGAAACCAATGCCACATGGGGCTTAGTCATCACTAGGTTTTTTTTTGAAGTTAGTGACTACGCAGTTAGTTGAGAAAAACGGTAGCGCACAGTACCGAAAACTACATACAAAGGAGTGTAAGTCCCGATGGCAATCGAATGTACACCCTCGAATCGAACAAAAGGTTCTCACTCATGAAAATACAGTTTGTATATGTTGTTGGGATGGGACCCCATATATTCTCTTCACTTTTATGTAGTTAGAAGCCACAGATCCCTTTAGAGCCCGAATCCATCGCCTCCTGAGGCGGATATCATCTAACCTATTATAAAGAATAAAAATAAGTCTTAACAAAACAAATCACGCTGGTACGCCGGCGGTTGCATAAGCAGACAATTTCCCCCCTGAAACTCCATCTGCGTTGTAGTTCGTGGGGACGGACAACGGTACGGTTGGAAAGCAAAAGAAACACCAACACCCATAATGCAAATCCTGGTCCGTGATGGCGGTTCAAAACTGATGACGGGATGTTTCGGGTGCGACAAGATCCTAGAGGTCCTCGGAAACAAAGTAGATACTCTGATTATTACCCCCAGTCATAATAAGGTGGGGAAAGATTACAGGATCGTGCGAACGTCGAACCATTGGAGAAGAGTGTGCTAGGAAGGGGCGTCCGGCATTAGTTGATCATCATCGCTGCCCAGGGGTATCGGTGGAGGGTCTGAATGGTATGCTCTCTGCCGGTTATCGTCTTGGGCTGGACGCATCCCAGGAGTACTTGATGAACTCCGTGGCACGAATTCATCGGTATTGTCTTCCGGAGGAGGCGAGAAAGTCCAAACCTGCAAATAAACGGTCAATCAATCGACCACGGGGTAACCTGATGAGACTCTTACCTCCATGACTGTCCGACCCGATCTACTCGCCATGATCACAGCCTTTTCCTCTTCAAAGGCCACCCTCCAAACCGCCTCTGCGGGTGAGGACAATTCCCGGAGTAACTGTCCGGTTTGTAGACTCCACACCTTAACACGGCCGTCACTACCACCGCTGACAATCCGCGAGCTGTCAAACTGAAGGCTTGTCACGCTATTGTCATGTGCCGCTAGCCTGTGGATTGGGGTCATTCTGGTCAGAGACCAAACACGGACAGACCCGTCCGAGCCGCCAGTGACGAGTGTGTCACCCCGCATCTGCAGCTGCCCCACTAAAGATGTATGGCCTTGGAGGATAGCATGGCACTGGCCACTTTGCGGGTCCCATATCCGCACACTGGTGTCCAGACTACCGGTAGCGATTCGCCTGCCATCGAAGGCGATTGCATAAATTTGACTAAAATGGCCCGAAAGAGTGCGGAGACATCGCCCCTCGGAGATACTCCAAATCCGTGCAGTGGTATCATAGCTTCCAGAAACAACTAAATCCCCATGAATCGCTAGGCACCGGACACTAGCCTGGTGTCCAACCAGGACATTTCTGCAAGTTCCTGAAGCCAGATCCCATATTCGTAGCGTGGTATCTCTAGACCCCGAGATAGCCGTATTCTTGTCAGACATTTTTAAGCAGCGCACAGTCGATGTGTGACCACGCAATAGGTAGATACCGGCTCTGTTTCACATGCAAAGTCAGTCTCTCTGCCCTTGAATGCCGATGTGAAGGACTCGGCTTACCCAGTAGCCATGTTCCAGACACGGACATCGCGGTCACAGCCACCGCTCACCAGTATGTCATCCCAGGGTACCATGGCCCATACACCCATCACATGACCTTGCAGCGTCTTCTGATTATCTCCATTGGTGTCATAGATATGAATCTTAGCGTTGTCTAGAGCAACCACAATATACTTGGGCGTGAGGTGCAGGCTCGTAACAACTCCCTGATCGGGCGTAATATGCCGTTGGGTGCATCGTCCGCCTTTATTCCAGGCGGATTCCACCATATATTTCTGTTTGAAATGGGTCCTGTATGACAAAGGCCGGACTCTCCGCTTTCGTGAAGACAAGCTTGCTGACGCAAGCCAGTCCCCCGACAGGGAGCGAGTCAGACCGGGGTGGCCATCCCGGAGCTGATGGCTGGAAGTGAGCGAACTCCTCGATCCAGTCAGGGAGTTTGTGCCGGAGACAGTATGCATGTGTTGAGTGTGGAAAGGGTCTACGAAATCCCGGTCATCCTCCGAAGACTTACGAGATGCATACGCATGCTTCTCGCAGAGGTTTTTCCATGTGATATCATCGTTCAATAGTTCCCGCCACCGCCTCGATACCTGAGATGCTCTTGCTAATGTCTTCGGATCATCGATGAACGAAAGTACCTAGGCGAAGCGACGGAGAAGAAAACGCCAAAAGTCAGCCGAGTTCGCGAGTTGCCATACGCCAGTAGCCGCACGGCTGAAAGTGCATATTACATACCCGCAAGCATAACTCTGTCGGAAAGACCAGAAACGGGTCCTTTCTCAAGCGAGGACTGACGTAACTAGAGACAAAACTGAGATGTTGGCTATCACATAGACTAAGAATACCCTCCAAGAATTTCTGCCTTTTAAAGCTGGACAGGGAACTGAAATGAATCCTGGCATTTAAAAGGAAAGCGTCATCGTCTTCATCGGCTGACAGCCATGTCGGAGGTCTCTGATGAGGGGTGGGACTAGGAGCAGGGGTCGGCGGCGATGCGGGTGCTGAAGGAAGAAGATTTGGGGGGATCGAAGTAATAGTTTTGTTCGAAGATAACGACCTCGAATGGGCACTCGAAAGCGAAGCGACCGAATCCGTGGCCGAACACGTTCGGGTATGGGCTGTCGCCGGCTGTTCAGGGACACTCCGTGGACTCATCCCGTTGGCGAACCGAGTCGAAAAAGAACGTCCCGAGGGGGTAGGAAGTGGCGCGCTGTAGGGCGGTTATATCATCCACCAGACACTACCCAACCTTCACTATCGATCTCGCCTCACACAAATGCCTCGGGATTCTGTGTCGTGCATAGATCGAGAAAGGAAGAACGAGTGTAGTAATGAGATATAGTGAATGTACGAGATCGAGGAAGGGGGGTATAAAGAAAGAAAGGCAAAAATATAGGAAAGAAATACGATGTTGCGCTGATTAGGTGAAGGAGCAGGAAAATAACGATATAATAAGCGGACGATCTCCGACGGTCGGATTGGGAAAGTGACTGGCGATAGCCCGGAAATAGGGGGGGGAAAGAGGAATAGGACAAGGGAAGAGAAGACGTCAGAAAGAGGGAAGGGCGAACAGGTTAACTGGGGGATGAGAAATGGTTGTGGAAAGAACTACATAGGACCTTGAACGTCTCTCCAGGCCATCCAGATGCCAGTACTAGTCGGGGGTCCTCACCAGGCTGGAAGCAAGCGGAGAAAGAACAAGACTGACGAGTACCTAATTTAATCTCGAATAATCATGCAATGTCGTGACTCGTTGATGGGGTTCGTCAGGTGCGGTCATTGGAAAGCAGACCCGCCAAGCAGTCGACGCTTCTGATTAGTGCCTTGTTGATCCACTTTCCGTACATGTACTTGATGAATGTACGGGGGAAGGAAAAAAGACCTCGTGGGGATGATGATAGGTATGTGTCAACGGGAGGAGTATCTTCGACTGGCATTCAAACAGTCAGACGGATCCCCGTGTCTGTGTCTGGGTTTGTATGTTTTTTCTCTTCTTCCTTTTTTTGTTTTTCTTTCCACTGGAATTCTCTCTTTTCGTTCAAACACTTATTCTCAGCTATCGCTCCACCCGTACCAATTGGGAGCATGTAACCCTATGTCAAATTGTGAAGAATCTGTGGAGAAGCACCTTCTGGGTAGTTTGAGGATACTACCTAAGCAATAGGTACTAACCAATCCTGTATGGTAGGGATCGACTGAGGACGGTGTCGTTTGGACAAGGCGAAAAGAGGAAAGAGGCAATGGATGATGAGGGAAAGAAGCAATCAAAAGGAAGACAAGAACAGCCAGTAAATTTGCATTCAACAAGCCCTCTTTGTCTGAGTACAAATATGCCCAGTGGCCAGAGTTCTCTCGTGCCCACTCAAGCCCACTCCGCTTGGCAACCGACATACAAAGGAACAATAACTTAACCTTTTCGGATCGAATACTTGTATCCTAGATTCTACCTGTCCCAAGTCCTTGGGTAAGAGAACGTCATGCAGCATCCGACCATGGAACTGTGCAGATCCCGGGTATGTCAGACTTGACAAATTGTTGCATCACCAGTCAAGTACCGGTCTAAGCGGAGTCAGGGCAATTGGGATTGTCTAGCACGCTTGATTCCCTCCCGGCTTTATATAACTGCTTATCTCCAGGTCTACGTCAATCTGATCCCGGTCAGAGCATGGAATGATGACCGAGATGGTCATAAGCAAATCAATAATACAATAGGCAGAAACTTCTAAAAAGGGACCCGGTCGCGTGGTCTAGGCCGGGCACGGTTATACGGCACCATGCGGCGCAGAATTTTGAAGCAGCAAGAGCAATACAGTCTTCCAATACATATAACAACAAGAGAATACATGAATCGCAGCATATATGAGAGCCATGAAGCAGTAGTTAGACAGACATGCTCCGTCACCAGAAGACTTCCAAGTCTATGTTCCCAATCTGAACGCTAAGTTTCCATGCAAATGCAAACAAACATTTTACCGTGGGTATGAAGCTGAGTACGTGATCGCTATAATCTGTGGAAAGGTCCAGTCTAGCAGTAAGGATAGTAGATGACCGTGAAAAAGATGTTAGTGGGCATGGCCGAGTTGCAAAAACAGCGGCAAAATCATGCCGACAACAGAAGCAATCAAATCCCTCATGGATTTGTTGGACTTGGACGGAAGGTCTCTTGAGTCGCCATATCCGTTCCCTTGTGTCTCACGTGTGACAGCACTTGGATTGTTCTCCTGCATTGTGTGCATGGCGACGTACCTGCAAAACGACCATTAGTCATCGTAGATTCTTAGGTAAGATTTGGGTCATGGAAGGCTCACAAGAATGTACCGGCCGAAAACAACAGAAGGACACCAGTTCTCCACTGAGTAGCAGTCAAGTCATTGCTGGACCCTGAGCCCATGACTTGTACAAATAAGAAAGTCGCCAACGCGCCCAAGGGCGCCGCCAGGCTAAAGACCAATAAATGCGCTCTCGCAGCGCGGCTGGAGAGACCCTGCTTCAACAAGACTGACGTAAGACCAAAAGATGCTGGGGCCTTATGGACCATGATAGCGAGGAATATAATGAAGCTTAGGCCAGTATCGGAGCTCGACGCTCCCAGAGCGATTCCGTCGGCGGCCGCATGAATAACAAGTCCGGTGGTTGTTGCGAAGCTGTGGCTGCTCCTGGGGCTATTTCCAGCATCCAGCAGCCCCCCTTCTCGTGAGGGGGATGAATTGCGGCGCAATCCAGAACCTAGGTTATCGAGAGAAATATGATATGGCGTCCGTTGCTGTTTGGCCGGCGCTGCAAATTCCGGGAGCTTGTCGATGAGATACATGAGGATAAAACCGCTAATGAGCGCGATCCCAATCCAGGCATGCGGCGAGCTCCCTTCATCATCGTGTGTATTCTTCTTGTCTTCGTCTGACGTCTCCTCTCCTTTCTGCTCACGGCGTGTGACATATGGCGTGGAGTCGGAACTAGGCAATAGTGTAGATTTATCCGCGAAAGAGGATACAGGGACATCAACCGAGTTAATTTCTTCAGGGGTATGAATCATAGCAGTAGCGACGGTCGGAATATTCTGGTGTTGCCAAGTCACGGCCCCCGTCGCGCGACTGTTGAGTGCTTTCCGGTCATTAGGTAATTTTGCGCTGTATAGAGTTTCTACCCCCTCCGGGATAATGACAATCAAGGATGTCCCGACCAAGACTCCCATACCAAGGGATGATATCAGTCGCAACTGGGAGGAAGAAAGCGTGAATGCAAGTGGTAACGAGCCCACAACGAAGGATCTATACAAGATGGGCCAGTTAGTTCGCGAGCACTCAAACAGTGGGGTAATCAAAGGAAATAAACTCACGTAACTGCCATCACAATGCTCAATGCGAGCAAAGTGAAAAGTCCCTCCATGGTCGGCCTCTTTTATTCCAGAGCTGTGTCTCGGATTCTTTAAAGGACTTCAATCATGATGCCAATTGCGGAATAACTGAGACTGTTCTGTTTCCCGCACACACGTTTCTAACGCCCTTGCTCGGCCAATGTGTGGTATGGCGGTACGGGCAACACAATATGACGAATAAGTTGGAGAATAAGAAGAATCGGCGCAACAAACAATCCTTCGGCGATAGCGTCAAGGTTGGATTGAAGACGTGGCGTGTGGTTGGAGAGATTGCGATCCGCCGCAGTTGGAAAAGGAACCGCGGGAAGACCCACAGCACCAGGGGACTGACCGGAATCAAGTGAAATAAATAGATTGAATGTAAAACAACAGTGGATAATATACCGAACATTGAGAGCTAGCACCTCCTGAGCTTGTTTCTATAAAAGTTTCTACAGGGCTCATGGGTGTCTGCCGAAATGTTCTTAATTCGGACGCACGTTCCTCGACCGCAATTAATTTCTTTTCCCTTCCTAACCTTAAGGCCTTCAGGCAAAGTTTCGCCTGCCGCATTCATTGTTTTGGGATGCTTGCGGAGGGAAAAAAATATTTGACAGTCTGTAGTAGGTTAGTGCCTGTTCTTGGTTGCAAAAGCACTCAATCCCCTCGACAATGTCGATCATCTTTTACTTCTATCTCTTGTAAATTTAATGCTTCTTAGAAAAATGAAACAGGAGCCGGATTAAGATATCTGAGCTTGACACCACATGCTACTGTTGGTGTATCAGCTAACAAACAATTCATTCAAGCATGGCATCGAAAGCTCGTTGGAGATAAATTGGGCTTGAAGCTACTGTGCTGTGGCTGTAACTTTCTAGAGGTTATATATATAGACTCTGTATGTTTTAGACGAAACTAATATCCGGAGAGCGTGCAAGCCAACACATGCACTTCCTCGCTGGGGCTATCCAAACACAACCACTAGCACTAGGGCTACAGTAGATACCTTCAGAGGCTTTTCAGTATATACCACAAAAGGGCAAAGTCGATATAAAACACTTACCACAAAGAACAATAACGCAACCCTGATACTCTCTGGGTTCCATACATAGCACTTTCTCCGCTGAAGTAACCTTTGCTGCTTGAAATACCGTACAGCACCCATCAGTTGGATATAGATAGCAAATGCAAGCGATAGGCAAGCCAGTACTTTCCCAGCCACGACAGAATCATGATGAAGGATGAACAGCTGAGCTGCGACGATCGCAAACGAAGCAAGCGCATTTGCCGTGCGAACATACGCTAGAAACGTTCTCTCAAGGGCTGTACTTTTTGGTAAGTAAGTGGAAATCAAGCTGTTGCATCTTTTCTAAACGGCATACCAAGGAAGTCTCTCGGGTCTCCATCTTCAGCGGCTACTTCCGGGCGGATATTGGTCAACCACCACTTGCGCAAGCGATTTCTTTCCTGCATTGTATGTATTCCGTCGCTATAGTCTAGCACCCTTGAATTGTCTCGTGAGACGTCATTGACAACGCTCCTGCGTGGTGATGTATTATCCAACTCAATTCTATCCATTTAACGACGAAAGGAGAATCCTTGTGAATTATAGTTTATCGAGATCAAACCCACAGGTAACAGCCATGTCGTCCCTGAGACCTGCAGATGTAGAGATTGTGGAGGTTGATGTTTATTTAAACTGCCGGGGAGAAACCATAGAGAGCTTGGAGGCTCGCCTACGCGCAAGCCGTTCCCCACATACTATCCGCCCAATAGTAGGGAAAGATAATAATCGCATTGTACGTGTATGAAGGAAAATATTAAGATAGCCTTAAGTCAATTGTCTGGATAATTCTTTGTTGGTGTAAACGTATAATACCAGAGTAAGGGTGGGTATAACATGGCTACTCAGCTATTCCTTGCATGTCATATGTAGCCAGTGTCCATTCCAATGCAAGTTGCACTCGACGTACATCTGTATAAACTGGTATTTCTACTTCACCTGCATGAAGCAAATGACTCTGCACTTTGTTCGACAACCTCTTCAAACGATTCCACTAGTATGTGCCGAATGACGTCATATTCGCATTGGGCTTCGAGACTTCTTGTGCTACATTATCCTAGCTGGGTCTCTTATGGCTATGCTTCAGGTACATCATGCCCGTACTTCTTAGTCTGTACCGCCACGAAGTCCTTCAGCCTTTCTTCTTTTTCGCGGACTTGTCCTGGTGTCAGGGTCCCGTAAGCTCCGTTGACCTGCGAGACCACCTTGTCCTTCCAACTTGTCTCTTCATTTCCTAGCACATTTACTTTGCCTAAGTCATCCCACACTACCTGCATAGTGCCACCTAGTTTGTCCAGAAAAGCCTGGATCCCACCTTCACCACCCCCTTGCTGATAGCTTTCGAACACACCATTGCCCGCCCACCTTGGCCCTAAACTAGCCATCAGGATTGTATCGAGATCTTTTGCGCTTACCACGTCTTCCTGTACCAAATAGCATGCCTCTCGTAGTAGCGCAAATGCCAGACGGTTCCCCACAAACCCTGATATCTCTTTTTGGAGTACCACAGGTCGATGCTTCGAACCAGGAACGGAGAAATACTCGCGCGCAAACTCCACCCGCTCTGGCAACGTATCAGGCGAGGGTACAATCTCTAGTAGTGGCATGATATGTGGTGGATTGAAAGGATGCACAACAAGCAAGCGAGTTTTGTCGCTCATCTTTTGTTGCTGGGCGGATGCGGCAATGCCAGACGTGCTGGTCCAGAAGTGCGCAGACAGTGGAGCTAATGATTCAACCTGAGCCCAAAGGGTCTGCTTAAATTCGAGGTTTTCGGGCCCTTGTTCTTGAACGATCGTGGCGGACGCACAGGCAGTTTCTAGTGAGGTGTGGATATGTAAACGACCGGAGGCAATCAATGAAGCCACGGTTGATGATGGACCTTGATCCAGGAAATTTGGCAAAGTGTTGAGAAGGTACTGGTCGAAATCCGGTCTTGTGTCGAATACGTCGACTGTCACATTCTCACGAGACAAATGCAACGCGGCCATGGACATACCGATGGTCCCCAGTCCGATCAAGGCGACCCTCTGCGGGTCAGTGACTGACATTGTTCCGGGAGTATGATAGAGCTCTTGATCTGTACTGATTCAGTTCGATTCAATGCGCAGACTATACACATCAAATGTAAAGTGAACCCTGGTGTGGTTAGAACCGAGCGTAACGAGTACAGAGTATAGTCGAATCCCTAGTCTCCCCGCTATTGACGGCGGCCCGTAGCCGCCTTGTATGGGGCACCACTACCCATTCAGCCGAGGTCAACTGCACATAACCAACTTAAGTGCTAGTACATGGTTGACCATTGGGTCATATGTACAGAGTACTAGCCCAGTCAGTGATAGGTCAATCGATGTATTTGACTTGCTTTCCTAACAAAAACCATTGTAAAAGTACTGATCACTGGCATATCCTCAATGAGCACACAAAGTTAAGACGACCTATAATTATTCACGTTCATCCTAGCCAGTTCCTTTCGGACAAGTATATATTCAACAATATTTTTGTGTCAGCATGATCGTGTTAACATTGACTCTCGAATCTCGCTGCGAGCAAGTGTGAGAGGCGAACTCTGAGAATGGGGAATTGTGTTGAAGTCATACCTCCAGAAAGTCTCCCAAGGAGCTAAACCCGAAACGGTTATACCTGAGGTTCGCGCAACGCGATTCAACACGCGCCGTCATCAGAAAGAGACTGACTTCATTCAGCTACCACCCTCAAACTAAGGATTTATCACTTCCTCTTTTCCTAGGCAATATGGCGAGCGAAGGCGACTGTAATTATTCCTCTGATGTCTCGCCCTGCCCGATAACTTGAGCTCCAGTCCAGCTGACAAGAATCATGTCGTTTAGGGACCTGCGACGCTAATGACGCCGTCCAGATCACTCTTGTCCAGCCCAGTGAACAAAAACCGAAGACGCTCTCTAGCTTCCATCCTCAGTTTACTTACCCAATTTTTGGCGATGATGAAACAATTTTCGGCTACAAGGGATTGATCATCCGTTTACGATTCGCTGCTCATGACCTCCGTCCGCATCTCCATATTTCCTACGATGAAAAGTTTAAGACCGTGGGCGACACCTCGGCAGTTGACTTGCTCAAGACATTAAACCCATTCATCCCAGAAGGTCAGTATCTAGTCTGGAATCAGGCTAGGCCACTGTATTCATAGTTGACAAATGTGCGAACCTGCAGAGGCATTTTCCACCCTTCCTGATTACGAAAACGCCGTCCAAGAAGACAAAGATGCGAAGGACTTTGTACCGCCAGGAAAGCTTGTCCATAACTATGTCACTCGTGGACGAACGTACGAGATCTGGGCAGGGTCTCTCGCTGATCCTAAGGTGCGGCGGCTGTTGGACCGGGCTCAGGTCTTCGTGTCTCTATTCATCGAGGCTGGAACACCCCTAGAAACGGAGGATCCCGAATGGACACTCGAGCGCTGGACGGTCTACTTCGTGTATGAGAATCTTTTCTTGTCCGAGAAGACATTTCTGAGTATGGCTGACAACAACTCGATCGCAGGTACGAGAAAGTGAAGCCTCCTACCTCCAATGCTTCACAATATTCCATCGTCGGATATGCGACAACCTATCGCTGGTGGTTTTACCAGAGGGATTCCCCAGAGAAAGCCTCGGTCACGAATGACCCATTTCCAGGTCCCGAGATTCGACCTGCACAGCTACCAGCCCGACTGCGGATTGCCCAATTCCTGATCCTCCCTCCACATCAAGGCTCGGGACATGGTACCCATCTGTATACGACCATCCATACCGCTTGCTTCAATGATCCGACGATTGTCGAGTTGACGGTTGAAGACCCCAATGAAGCATTTGACGCACTTCGCGATACCGCAGATTTCCACATCCTGCGCCCAGAATTCCTTAAACACAACGTGAATATCAATCCCGACCCCTATGCAGCACACCCTAAGACACAGCGCCCTCGTCGTGTCCCAACATCTGCCCTTATCCCCACAAAGCTTCTACACGATATCCGTTCCACTTATAAAATCGCCTCAACACAGTTTGCTCATGTCTTGGAAATGTTTCTCCTGGGCGAGATTCCCACCAAGAATCGCCATGCTGGTGGCGCAAATATGTCACGTCTATTGATAAAGAAACATAATGCTGCGGATCCGAATGAGCGGCGGTACTACTGGTGGCGCATGCTAGTTAAGCAGCGTCTCTTCAAGCGCTCTCGTGATATTCTCATCCAGTTAGAGATGAGCGACCGCATCGAGAAACTTGAGGAGACAGTGACCAACGTGGAGGAAGGATACGAAGCATTAATCAAGGTCTTCACTGCCAGAGAGGAGGCTCTAAAGGCTAAGCAAGAGGAATCTGGTGAATCGCCTGAAACTGCAGCTTCAGAAGACTCAGCTACGAGTTCCGGTGATACTTCCGCCAGGGATCAGCGCTCTAAGAGAAAATTCACAGTAGAAGATGAGGATGAGGAGGAAGAGGGTGAACCGGAAGCTTCCAAGCGTCCGAAGGTGTAAATTATGAACTACTTTCCCTATTCGGGTTTCCAGGGTTGGCGCATCTGGCTTAAATTGTCCAAAGGAAACTTCGACAAATGTAATATCAGCGCTCACGAGCTGTCAAATTCATGCTATCTTTTGTACATTGTTTCCACTAATGAATGGCGTCATGCATGGTAGCTGGGTCAGTGACTATAGCTTCCAGTATGTCTACAGTCATATATGAAGTAGCATCCAGGCTCATCAGACTTCTCATTCTTAGCGATATAACCACCGAGAGACCAGTTGTCGATGGCTATCGTATTCGATGTTTTGCTTCTTAGGTCGAGATGTCCGACACCCTTGGGCATATATATACTACCAATATCTAAAGTTCAAGGAGCAGGTAAACGATTTATAGCCGTTCAGCTAGCGTAAATAAGGAGTGAAGCCGATGTCATCTTGGGCATCAAGGCCGCCGACGTGGACTGTCAGAACTTGACGTATTGGCTCAACTGACGAGTCTCCAGAAGAAATACAAGCACTTTGCCAATTAGCAGCTAGTACTCCATCACTATTGTCGGGATGTGACGGAATTAACCCGGATCAGTAGTTATGGCTATAATTCCAGACCCGAGTCAGCTCATTTCCATTCAGAAATAAACCCATCCCATCAAAAGCTTGATTCGCTACATAGACGCCCAGCTCAAACGGCTAGGGCTTGACTACGCAGTAGTATTTATGTACTAGTTGGCGGATCTCGGACTTGCTTTTCTCCGGATCTCCAGGTTGCGATCACCGCCGCCGCTGGAAGCTCGTGCGGAGCTTCTTGGTTATTGAATTCAACAAACCGAGGGCCTGCTCTTCCCTCAAAAACGCCTTGCTTCATACTCTGTCGCTATTATTCGGTGTCGCTTTATTAGTGGATACCTGATTCCGCTAAGAACAACTGTATCTTAGCCTTCGCCCGCTTCACTTTCGGATATCAGCCAACCTTTAATATTGCCCACACTGATCAATTTGCGAAATGGTATTTACCTGCCATGCTCAGCCTGACCAGTTTGTTCTTCGGATTTGCG